GATGGTACTCTAATAGTGTTAAGATGGAATTCAGACGATCTTTTTAAGATAATTATTTTTATTAGGCGAAGTTCAAATTTATTGGGTAAGGTCTTTAAGACCTTACCCAATAAATATGAACTGCCAAGAAAAAATATTTTTTGTATATTTTTAATTTTTACACGTGTGTTTGTGCCAGTCGCAAGCAGTCTTGCCTATCTACCTACTTATACAGTTCACTTAGTATAGAAGTCCACAATAATTTGTAAAAGAAATTTAAAAAAGTTTGTCATACTATTCACACGTCTCGACATTTATGAAATTCCCTACAACAAAAAGTGAACTTTATTGCTTTGAACAATGTCATAGATAGTACATCCACACTGTGGGCAGTGAAGAATGATATAAACCGAGGAAGCATTTAAGGCAAGACATGCGACCTTACCTGATATGGTATGGTGATAGGTTGAAAGTTAGGAGGATTGATATTGAAAGCGGTTGTATTAGCTGAATCGTTGATCCAATCAATAACTTATATAACAAGTAGTATTAAAAAAACAAAATACCCAAATGCGTGAAATTTGTATACTTAAAATTTACAAAGTTAGTAAAAAATTTTTTTTAGCTATAGTGTTAGTCAAGCTACGTTTTTTTAAGTAATTGATTGTTAACGATATATATTTTGTTTTTTTTAGCATTTTTCGTTCGAAATTACATTTCAATTCGAAAGTTTTTTTAAGACATTTAAGAATATTTTTTTTATAATTTTGATATATCCAGTGTCATTCTCATAATTAAGACGAATGTAAAGATACCTCTTAAACCAAAATCCATGAAAATATTTAGGCTACAGATCGTGCTAAATAAATTTACATACATTTATGAACACGAAAGCATAACTCTCTTTGTGGCGTGGTCGGTTAAATACACAACACACAAACATGTGTGCTCATGCATGCCTCTTTATATATAATACTTGATAGATTTATTTGTCCCCTATTCATATTATATGGAGACAGGGATCAATAACTGTCGCATAATTTCATATTTTTCTGAGTTGGGATATACCATTCTATAAAAAGAGCACAATTGTGAATATTGCACGAAACGAAAATCCGCAAGAATATTGAAGGAGAAATAGAAGAAAACTGCTATAGATCTAAGATATGGACGTGTATTTACTTGAGTTTGAATGATTAGTTAGCCTGTAGGCGATAAATGGATGATGCAAAGGAGATATTGACAAAAGAGTAAATGGGGTGACCTTGTGAATGCCGCGCAACTTGCCTTTATGACAGTCGGTGCCGTAGAAGACGCGCTATTCATAATAGTGTGCTGGGATCCAACTTGAGGTTCTTTATTCGATTTATTATTATTAAACAACCAAGTTTGTTTTAAAAAATCATTTTAAAAAATATTTTGCAACTTTCCAGAAATGAGAAATGTAAATTTCTATAAGGTAAAACGTGTAAAACAAATATGGTTATATTTAATTTCACTTTTGCAGCCCTCGAAAATCAAATTAAGCACACAAATAGGTAGGCAGGAGCTGATTCTGTCGACGCTAACGTATATCCTGAGAGAACAAATTGTGCGTAATCTTCTTGCGACCACCGCGCCGCAAAAAGGTGAGTTTCCTTTATTATGAATAACTTCCAGAGCCCTCATCTAATTTAACTTGTAAACATTACAATTTAGCCGCCCATCTCGACTTGATGCCCTCGAAAGTGCTATTCGCTACCTTTATTACCGGAATTTTTATTTCGTATCAGGCTTTTTTGTTCGCTCGCGTTATTTCTTTACGAGTAGCCTCGTTTGTGTTCAAAGCCTCAAAAGAAATTTTAATAGTCGCTTGAGATTCATCTATGGACATTTTTGAATCGTTTTCAATTGCTTTCGTTATCTGTTTGAGTACTTTTTTACTACTTTTTCCTTTCCACTACAAGTAAGTAAGCGGAATTATAAGACATTATTCTGTATTACAGCGTCTACTTATGAAGATTTAGATATTATATTCCTTATCTTTATTATCGTACTGAGTTCTGAAATTAAATTAGTACTAGTATTATTTATGATATAATCTTTTGATAAAAGGCGTATATGAAAATCTGACCAGCTATTCGGCAGTTTAACATTTACAAATAACCATATAGATAAAAACCAATATCATTTAACTTTGCTATCGTGCAAACAATATGAGCCTAAGATAAAATCCATGTTTAAAAATCACAGAGGTCACTTCAATTATATTTTTATTAATGAATAGATTATTGCAGAAAGTTACCTGGAATAGAATATTAGTGTCAATTTAAAAACCTTGTCCTTAAAGAGAGAATTTTCGATAGTAGAAATGCCGTTTGTGCAAATTGGGGTGCAGCTGCCTTTGATAATGGTCCGTCCGGTGTCGCAGTTCCTAGTAAAGGATGTAATTGCATCCGTTTCAGACGATGGGTAGCGATCAGTGACCTTTTGTGACGATTAACGTTGTTGGCGAAGCTGGTCAAGCTAGCACTGTTACTGGTTATTTGTAGCGTTAGAATATATTTCCACCAATTGTTGGCAATCTTGTTATTTAAACAAACTACTTTCGTAGTAATATTAGGTTCGTGTTGGTATTATAAGTTGAACACAATTATTGGTCAAAAAAATCTGTTCCCATTGTCAGTAGTTATTAGTGGATTTCTCTTCAATCAATAAAAGTATATATTTGCAAAAATATATACTATGGCAAAGAGAGGCAAAAAGGGGGGGGGGAGGTCAGACGATTCCAACCCTCTTCTCCTAAGATTATCCTCCGGTAGCCTCACTCACTCACTCAAAAGCAGTAAAAGAAAAGAAAAAGGATGAGTTTGTGTAGGCATTTGGGTATGTGTGTACTTTATGTACTTTTTTAATGGCTAAATCAATTTAATAAAGTGTACGAACGTTTCTTAGGTGATCAACTTAAAGGAAATCTGAACGTATCTCAGATAAAAACATTCATAAGATTCTTACGAGATAAAATTATGCCCAACAATTGTATTACAGTCGTATCTTGTCCTTCAAGTCATAATATTCTACTAATCTTTTCAATAAAAAATAAAACAAAAGCAGACAACAAAAACCATAAAACCACAAGAATTTAGAAGTAAAATCGTAAACCGTATATCGAAACAGGCGATACCTTTTGCTGTTAGTTGTGGGTTATGTGCGGCCGGCAAATGGCAGTATTGGCCATCTCTCTGTAACGATGTACTTACGGGCACGGCGGTCACCGAACAAATTGATGGCTGATGTGATATTACTTACTTTTTATTACAAACAATAAACGTGGGTGGTATCATACGATATCTATAGAAGTAAATATTTTAATAAATGTAATTATTTTACGTTAACTAGACCAGTGTGGTGTGTGTCCACACGTTAAATGAAACCTAATTACCGCAAATTGGGCAAGCCAGTCAGTCACACATATTGTTAACACAAGTCGCTGCCCTAAATATTAAAGTATACGGTGTATTTTAAGCGGTAGACGGCTCATATTGTTGTTACTATTATTATTACTTTTAAATTAGGTAACCATGAAAAAATCAACCAAAGATTACAAATAAAGCAAATTTTTTAACTGGTTTGGATGTTTTTATTTATTAAAATTATTTAATGTATGAATCAGGATGCAATAATAAGAAATTATAAACTCTTCTTTATCCTCTCTCTCTCTCCTCTCTATCCTACGTTTTGATGGAGATGCGTCTATTATAATTAAGTACACCACAAGTACTGTACCTTAAAATTATTGCAAGTTCCTAATTAGGCATCTAATAGTTCTATTTCATTAGAGCACCGGTAGATGATATTTTTATAATGACTTGTTGAAAATAGTGATTCATTATTATTTCGAATAATTCACTTGGGTATGCAGCGACGCGATTTAATTTTTCAGTAAATTATGGCAAACTGCGCCGATGTAAAGCACTTCGTGTACTAATTATTCTTGAGGCTTGAGATTTTTAAATGATGATTATGACGGTCAGTTAGTATGAGTCAAGGTTGCTTTTCTGTTGTGAATGTGCCAGCTATCAAACAAGAAACCTAAATTTAATTTAACATCTCAGCATTAGGTGTCTATTCAGCATGTGTGCAAATATTTCAAACTGTATGATGATGGTGCGAAGGCAAGGTTACATAAATTCAATTTGGGCACTTCAGAGAGCTCTGCAAATTGCCTCGTCGACCAGAGACGAGTTTAGTTACCCTTTGATGCCGATCACTAGCACCATTCCGTCACCCGAACTTTTCGTACCGCTTTGAAATGTTCCATTATATATCATCTCAAAGTGTGGCACGTTTGAATGTGAGTTTAAAATTCCCAATAGACACCAGGGTACGTTAAACTTAAAAATTTAAAGCACTCTAAAAAGAAGATTGTGAGTGACCGAGCGGCTTCCAATTTAATCCAACTTTTAGATACGTAGAGCACGAACTGTTTTAAATTGTACATTCTAAAATATTCAATTCAATAGATCTACGGGTACAAAGTCTTATAAATTTCGTTTTATTATTTGTTGAATTATATTGCAGGAATTAATTGTTTACTGGCACTTCCAATTTACCTGTTTACCTATCTTACTTTCCATTCTCATATCTACTTAGATATGATACTTATCTTATGGACAGTCTCAAAATTACTTGAAACCATCCTCGATATGTAACGTAAAGAAACTATGACAATTAATTAAGAACATAATTTCGTTCGCTGAACATAATAAGTTAAAATAAAATGATCCATTGACTTCTTTTTATAACTTTAAAAATAAAAGATGTTTGAAATGAAAATGAATATATTTTAAATAAAATTATTTAAGTGTGACATAAAATAACCTAAAAATGCTAAAGGCTAAAAGTTATCTAAGATTATATAAAACAAAACACTAATTAATTTAAACATAGTTTAGTAATATTTTAGGTAACAAAATTAACTAAAAGATCTAAAAAATACCTACGGTTATGTATAAACTTAAAACAGAAACCGTTGCATATTTTTAATCCAAAGCATATATAACTTTCATGGTGTTCGTGAATCCCGTTCCTGGTCTCCAGCCGCAAATAATTACTATAGGATCACCGATTCTGATGAAAGCTTTCTCCATAGCCCACTTTACACCAAAAGAAATGCGGTTTTCAAGATCATTTGCCCAAACTCCTTCAGGGGGATCTGTAAAGAGCATTGGGAATAAAAGAAACCTACGGACGAACAAAGTTAATTAAAATGTCCAGCGTATTGCTGTCGAGTCCCATATTCTGATAACTTTTTTTTTGAATTTCGAGATGGTTCTCCATTTTCATGTTTCAAAGTCATGCTTGGTGTTTTTGATGTTATTGAATGAAAAAATTTCTTAGTGCATAGGGGTCACAGTAATGCTGTACTAATAATAGCGGTCGTAGATATAATAAACAATATATACAATAGACTGACGAACAGACAGACGGGCATGGAGGAACTAAGATGGTTTCTTTTTAAGTCTATAAAACACAAGAAATTGCGTAGCCTCTATCATTTATAAATAGGTGGCTAATGGAGTGCTGGATGCGAGAAGCCTAAAATTGATCTAAGTGGTATGCAATGGGAGAGGTCTATGTCCAATAGTTGACTGCGATAGGCTGATGATGAATGAGTGCTAATTGAGTTATTACTTTCTGACACTACATAAATATGTAAAAAACTGTTACCGATTAGTCTGGTAAAACACTAGAGTGTTATGCTTGAATCTTTGTCTAGATAATTTTTTAGCTGTCCCAATTAAAATCCTACAGGTATATTTTATAATTATACTTGTTTTTGCCCGCGGCACCGCCCGCGTGGATATCGGTTATTAAGGTTAAAAATAAGTAAAAGCCGTTACGTTACGTTACTCGCTGATAATGTAGTTTTCCATTGGTGATAGAATCTTTAAAATCGGTTAAGTGGTATAGGCATGAAAGCGTAACAAATTAACTTTCACATTTGTAATATTAGTATGATTAGATGTTATTGCATTTGATTGGATAGGTAAATTACACATTCGAGAAGTTGTAACTATTTTCAGTAAAAATATTTATAAGAATTTAAAATACAATATACCATTAGTGGGTGTGGCTTATAGTCAGTAGTGTTAGCGTTCGTCTTGTGCGCTTGTGTCGAAAAGTCTCAAATCGGCATTTTTATGTGGTATTAAGAAGAATATGATGAAGTGTTGTATTTTATTCTGTAAAAACTACTAAAATAGACGTTTTGATGATATAGATGGCATCACATTTGATTTGTAGATAATTATAGACCTTATTTAGTAAACTAGTTCTAAAAAAAACTCTCAGTATTTTTTTTAATAGAATTAAGTAAATCTTTTCGTCCCTAGATGGTAAAACTTTGTGTAATGGAAACTAAAAATATAAAGTTTCGTAGAGCTCAGTATTACTAAAATAATCATATGAAGATAGAAAGAAAGAAAGAAAATTTATTGCTACATGCCATTCTTTACAAAAAGTGCCAATGAGTCTGCAGCTCAGCATACTGTTGGATGACCACAGGTGCCTTTCAACGCTGATTTTCAGCTGCACTGTGATTGTGTATGTGTGTAAATATATATGTTTGTGCAACACATCAATATAATAAAATAAGAAAGTAAGAAAAAACTGAACAATAGGTACCTAAAATAAGTAAAATAAATGAAAAACAAATAATATTTAAAATGCGATGTTGAAATCTGGACACTCAATTTTTTTTGATGCAAAAGCAGATAACATATGAAAATGAGATGCAAAAGCTGATAATAAGTTTCTCTAAGGAATCGCATCAGAATTGAGGTGGTCCGGCAGAGAACCAAGTTTACCGACATGGCCTACCGGATTAGTAAGTAAGCTAAAGTCACAGTGGGCTTTTCATATTAGCCGCAGAACCAACAAACTATGGGAAAAAACGAGTACTTGAGTGAAGACCACGTCTCGGCAAACATAGTGTAGGACGTCCACAGGCGATTTGCGCAAGATGGCTGGTAGGAGCTGGATGCGAGAAGCCCAAATTCGATCTAAGCGGCGTGCAATGGTAGAGGCCTATGTCCAGCAGTGGACTGCGATAGGCTGATTATGATATACGCTTCCGCGGTAATATCACTCTCAGTAACATTACTCTTAAATAAAGAAGAAATAGTACCTTCATACACAAGAGGCACGACTCCTTTAAACAGATGCAGTCTTCTTGCTACAGGCGGATATCTTGTGACTGTTATTATTGGGCATCGTGGTTTATATTTTGCGACTATCTCGGCCGTTTTGCCAGTACTAGTGATCACAATTATTGCTGCTGCTATGCATCTTTGAGCAGCTAATACTCCTGCCATTGCTGTACATGTCGTTTGATTACACGGTACTGGCGTCTGTAAAAATCCGTATCCCTTACATAATTTAATCAATTGTTAAGTACTGAAAAACACAGATAAAAGCAATTTATTTTTTTAGTATGTTATTTTTTTTGTAAGACAACTCCCGCAGCTAGGAATAAATCCTGTGTCGCGGGGGATTTTACAAACATACATTAAACGGACACAAAGAAAACCCAGACTCAAGACAGCAATTTGTAAATCACACAAAGTGTCGTCCCATGTGGGGATCGGAGCCACAGCACTCAGCGTAGTAATGAGCGTCGTGGCGACCGTTTAAACCACTACGCCATCCGTGCAGTCAATATTGTATTGTAAATATAAAGTATCTGAGTTTCAAAATGCTCGGTGACTCTTGACTGCCTCGGTGGTGCAATGGTAGCGTAAGCGATTGCAGTGCTGAGGTCTCAGGTTCGATTCCCGGGTCGGACCAAATATTTGTATGATCTGCAAATATTTGGTTCGGAGTTTGAGTGTTTTCTATGTATAATATATATGTAATCACAAAAAAAGTATTTAAGTATTATATCAGTCAATCTAGATTTCATAGTATTTACAAGTTTTGATTAGTTTTAACAAACAAAATATTTGATGTAATGAAGCATATCATATTTAGAATAATTAATGTGAACCTAATCCAGAAGGGCTCAAAGTTTATTTATTTTTTACAATATGTGCATAAAGCTATCACTCTGGTCGAGCTGGCCCATTTGTGTCGAAAATTGACTTTCCCCCTTTATGCTTACGCTGATTTATATATTATTAAACCAAATGTGTGTTATTAACCTTGTCAACAAAATCCATAAAAATTTGTTTTGACCAAATGCATGCTTCTGCCTCTTTGCAAGTGCCGGCCATAGATAGTACAGCTTCTACTGGATACGATCCGATAGCTGTCTCAGGGCCAAGTACCAAACAATCCGCACCATCTAGGACGCAGTTCGATATGTCCAGGAGTTCAGCTCTAAGTGGAATTTTTTGGTGGGTCATGCTACTGAGAACATGAGCACTAATACATACAGGAATGTTAGCCTGTAAAATCAGAAATAATGGTAAAAATTAAGTTTTGGAAGAGTTGATTTTTAAATTCGTTGCTTTTTGGACGATTTGACTTGCTCAACTATGTGCTTAAACTATTTAGAAAAACTGAATGTGATTCCGAGCAAAGCGAACAGCTAAGTTTTGAACATTTACTCAAATAAAGTTTTCTGAAAACTCTGCACCACCGGATATGTTTCGGATAAAATGAATATTCATTTAACATACTCATACATTTCTTAATTTTATAATCTGAAATACATATCTAACACTCAATGTCCTCAGTAATTTATAAAATTACTAGCTTCTGCCCGCGGCTCCGCCTTCGTATATTTTGGTTATCGCTGTAAAAAAGTAGCCCTATAAATAAAAAATAAAAAGCCTTTTATTCCATGCAACTACAAAATTTTCGTTTTTACATGACATGCTTGATTGTCAAATATTATTATAATTAAGTATATATTTTTTTTCATTCCATTTAACTTCATATTAAATATAAACAATAATAAATTATTATAGCAATTGTTTCATAATTTAAATTTAAATGAGCCCTATTACTCGCTAAAAATGCAGCTTTACAATGGTAAAAGAATTTTAAAAATCGGTTTAGTATTTTAGGCGTGAAAGCGTAACAAACAAACTCACTTTAACATTTATAATATAAGTATGGAAGTATTAGTTTATAGATCACTGATATGAGGGCAGAGGACGATATTAAGACATTAATGGATGTTTGCATATAGACGTGTTTTCCTCGGAATTTGTATGAATACGAACGATGTATTTTTGTTTTAAATAATTTAGAAGATGCATACATATCTTATATAAGCGAAGGTAGTGGAACGTATCTAATATATTAGGGTTGAACTTGTTTTGTAAATGTCTCGAATAGACGACATTAACTCCTTGGTTAAAATATCCATTAGATTACTATACTTCTTAATATACTGGTCAATGAAATAAGATATTTGAAACGGTCGTAATACAATCGCCAAGCAATCTCATGATGCATATAGTTATTCCTATTATTTATTTATACAATGTATTTAATATGAAAAATAAAAAAAAATATCAATATTTAAATTCTACCTTTATTGTACCTGCGATATTTACCTTGTTGGCTCTTGCGATCATGTTCTTCTGGGCTATCACTAATTTCTTAGGTGAAATATCAGATCCAAGTTCTTGTCGCGTTATTAATATACCTTGGGCTACCTAAGGTGTAAGCGTACGTTGTACATTAACAGAACAAGTTACGTTTGTACCAATGCAAACACAAACAAGCACACCAATCACTAGATGGTGAGTGAATAAAGCAGCCAAGAGTCACAAATGTATTGCCCCTGACTTAGGGGTATTCCCCCCTCCCAGGTTGAAGATTTAGGCCTTTAGTAACTGTAATTATAGTCAAATGCAATGAGCGAATTGCATAACACCACTTTTCTATGAGGTCATAACTTCTCTCCTCTAAAGCATGGTTCTCCTACGGTTAAATCATATTGATTCGAGAAGTTGAGTACTGTTAATTCAGTCCTATCAAATGATAAGGAGATGATGATGATGACAGTGAGATGATGATTATTACACATGTTAAGGAGATCTATCTCATTTATACATACCTCAAGTATTTCGTCAAAGTTACGATATCCTTCAATTGTTTGTATGTTTGCAATGATTGAAATCTTCTTGCCCTGGTTGCCTAAGAGATTTCTCAATTCAGTAATATTACCCGCATTGTTAACAAACGATGCGATTATAATGTCAACCTGTTTGAAAGAATTGTTTGTCAGACAATTTAATTTTACTTGTTTGATAGATAATAAAAAGTTAATTCAATGAACATTTTTCCTTTACTTTTACACAAATGCATCTCAATAAAAGAACTTACCTGATTGTCTATTGCCATTGTTATATCCAATACATCTTTTTCGGAATAATCAGGCATGTTTAGTGCAACGTTTGGTATAAACACATCTTTGTATGATCCCAGATGTCCACCTCTTTCAATGTTACATGTCAAAGTTGTTGCAGATATCACGTCCACTTTTAAGGAGATCTTTTCATTGTCCAATAAAATATAATCACCTTTTTTTAACTGTTCAGCCAGATACATAAAGTCTATATACACTGTGTAAGTAGAACACCTATCTTTGTAAGTTTCATCTGTTGTGAGTCTTACAGTATCGCCAGTTATTAGTTCTACTTCTTCGCCATAGCTCTGTAAAAGACATTTGTTCATCAGAAAAAAACTTCATCGCGCTTTGCTACATAAAATTACACTATTGCAAATATATTACAGTATAACCAGCCTATTAAATGTTCTGTTTGATGTCTAAACTTTTGTGTGATCCTGGCCAAATTAAACAAAAAATACTATCAGTTGCTCCAAATTTGCCAATTTTAATAGCCAAACTTTTAAATTTTTCTGTTTTATAACTTAATTTTGTACTGTAATGGATATTCCAAAACAACTTTTTAACCATTAGTTACTGTGTAGTATGTGTATTTAATACTGATTGTTCATGAAATTAATTTTTTTTTTAAGTGAATAGTAGTAATCATTTTTGAAAGTAGAATAAAATCATTGTTATTTAGGTGTAAATTGATTATATGTTTTTGAAAAATACCTCTCTCAACATATTATTCATTATGAATACTAGAAATAACATTATCTTGATTTTTTCATGCATTACTTGCCTAATATTCGGCACTACTGTTTTGTAACACAAGTACCTAATCATAGAAAATCAGATTAAACTCTTTTGATCTTTAAAGCGTTAAGTTACAAGCCATCATATATACATTTAATGATAACACGTACATCGGCAATACGACCTGTCCTTATCTTTCTGCCAGTTAAACGAATAGCGATCGCCAACGGGTAAAGTTTACCAACGGTGGTGCTATAGTTCGTGGCAGCCTGACGAATCATTTTTATCGCTTCTACATGTTCGTCTCTGGAACCGAATGACATATTGAGAAAGGCAATGTTCATTCCCGCTTCCATCATCTTTTCTAAGGTTTCAACATTGTATGTTGCTCGACCTGAAATTTTACATAATATGCTTAATTTACCTTTTCTAGGTGTGGTAAGTGTTGGGCATGGGTATGGGCACCTCCCTCACAAATCTGGAAGGTAACACGCCATAGGCTTAGGATTACTAGCAGTTGCCTTTTATTTTAAATGTTTAGTAAGCAAATGGTAGACTGCACGGATGGCGTAGTGGTTTAAGCGGTCGCCACGCCGCTTCCTACTACGCTGACTATTGTGGGTTCGACATGGGACGACACTTTTTGTGATCCACAAATTGTTGTTCTGAGTCTGGGTGTTCTTTGTGTCCGTTTCATGTATGTTTATAAAGTCCCCAGCGACACAGGATAAATTCCTAATGGAGGAGTTGTCTATTTAAAAGAAAAAAAGAAAGGTAAACTGATATAAGATAGAGTATTATCCTAAGTACTCACAAGAGCGGAGATACTTTAACAATCAGATTTCTTTAATAGTTGCCTGCTACCTTACGCCTTGGTACCTTTAGTCAATTCTTTTTTTCTTAGTTTTAGTTTCTAGGAAGTGTATTTAATGCTGTTGGTATTCCGAAAACAATAAAAAATACTTTCTTATTATTATGTTTAAAAGTAACATTACCTATTGCTGCCATAATTCCTGTAAGTCTTTGACATGGTGCAGGAGTGTTAATGGTCAAGTTCAGCAGATGATCCAAAGGTGTCTTGGCAAAAGATGCACCTAACTGCTGACCAGGCATTTCCATCGCGTCATACTGAAATTCAATTCTTTTATATATTTTTTGCTTAGCACGCTTAAAGCGTCAATCAACAGGTAATTATTAAAAAATTCTAAAACCCGACTGCATAAGGGCAATTTAATGTAATGCAATAAAAAGACCGAAACAGCACGAGAACCATTTTTACGCTATCAAAAACTGTTTAAACCAATTTAGTGTTACTTATTTAATTGAAATATATAACTTAGATATATTTTTGTAATCTCCTAATATAATAATCCTCCTCCTCCTTCTATAAAAATCCTGCTATAATTTTCTAAGTTTTGATACCGTACTCGATAGGTTTGGTTGATTTATTTATTAACCTATTACTACTTTGCGTCTAAAAGCCGCCATTTGTTTTTTTTTTTTCAAAAAGCCATCTAAGGACACTTGAGTTTGCAAGACGTATAAAACAATACATTAACTACTTAAATCTAGTCAGTCATTTTGAAGCTACCTCGTAGCATAAAGAAATTTACAAACAAAACATACAAGATACGCGCGAAACAAATAACCTTGCGTTGGCAGTCGGTAAAGTTATTATGATCTGAAGAATTTTTGAGCCTATCCTGATAAAGATTCGAGAAAGAAATGCAATTAAAAATAGATGCAGGACCGTTGTCTTATAGTTCAAGATAATCAAGGGTACAGCAATACACTTGTATGCATTTGTTTAAATAAAAATAATAAAGAAGATTGATACAATGAAATTGATCATACAAATTCTTTTTACCGTTTTGTGTATTTTTACGTTCTTGAAATTGCCTTTTAAGTGTCAAGTAATTACACATCTGAATACTTACTTCACTTAACTTAGTATCAAATAATGTTGGCCAAGTCATGGTGTACAAAAATAGAGTTGTTTAAATATTTATCGAATTGCTACTTATTTGAGAATTACACCATTACTTTCTGCTTTATGTTAAATACCGTAATGCAGTTTTCTGACGTGTGTCGATGTCAATCTGAGATAAATATAATAAAGGAAAAAATAGTGGTGTTGAGCTTAAAACAGGTAAATACTACTTTGTATGTTTCTTAGAATTTCGTAACGAAGAAGAACTCAAGCTCAAGTGGTTGACCTCCTGAGAATGAATATGTCTTTCTATTTATTTAAGTATTTTCATAGTTTAATTGGCCGCAAGAGAGCTGTGCTTCGGTACGTACAGCGTCTTAGAAACGTACGGAACAGCAGAATAATTAGCTAGGCATTCATTTTTCGGAAATACGTTAAACACAAAATTTACAAAATTATTACTCACCACCGGATGACCCCTCTGCTCGTTTGCACCCCTGCAAATAGATCATCATCATCAACCTTCAACAGTCCACTGCTGGGCATAGGCCTCTCCTTAGAAAGGAGGTGCAAATATATTTATTTATACTATAAAAACATTTACTAAATTAATAAAAGGTTTGCAATTCATTTTTATGTTATAAAGAGCGGTATGTCAGAGCCATTGTGCACTGTTGATTTTAATTGGAGTATAGTTTAGCCACTATTGCTGGACAGTCGTGATTAAACAATGGGCATAATTTGTCTTGTAGTATGTACAGCACAACAGTTTGATTCATTTGCATTTGTAAGCTGGTACCAGATGAAAAAAACCTTCTAAAACTGGTCTCCGTAACTCCCGAGCATTGTACTTGAACTATCAACACGTACTGCACTGAATTGAATATACAACTTATTGACAGTCGGCCATACTTTAGTTACATGTACAAGTACAATAAGTTAAGCGTACAAGTTTGATTTTAACAGGTCTAAAGCAGTACTAAATAAATATTTGATGATGGTTTCAACTTAATAGCTCCTCATGTTCCTGAGAATAAGGATGTTAACAGACAGGCTGACGTCATATCTTTCAGTTGCCGATCCCGCAATCGCTAAAAACCAAGGCGTTTACCCTGTGCTGCGGAATTATATACAGAACCGAAAAGTGAACTTTGACAACGATGAGTTTGACCGGTCCACAAGTTTGAAGTCGCTCAGCGTGCAATGGAGCGTGCGATGCTGGGTGTTTCTTTAGGCGATAGAATTCGTATCGAAGTAATTCGACAGTGAACTACAGTAATCGACATCGCATGGAGAATCAGTACGCTGAAGTGGAAGCGGGCCGGTCATGTTTCCGGGTGGACTAATGGTCGCTGGAGCCGATATGATGTGCTAAAGTGGAGATGGCGATTAAGCAAATGTAGTGTACGACGCCCTGCACCGCAATGCACCGACCATTTGAGGAAAATGGCTAGCAGCGGAGGTTGCGGACTGCCCAAGACCGGAATGGTTGGCACTCCTTGGGGGATTACATCGTTCAGCAGTGGCTGCCGATAGGCTCATGATGAGATAGACAGACAGGCGGAAAGATGGACAACGAATGGATACTATAAGCGTTCCTTTTAGGGGGGTTGGGGGTACCAAGAGTTTTTTCGTGGGACTTCCCGAGTGTTATAACTCGGTGTGTTCGTGGGCCACTGCTGTTCCTGGTGTATAGGAGTTACAGTGGTGGGCGTGTGGGAGGGATTAGTCCCATTAACAAAAAAAATCCATCCAATTATCTGGTATTATATAATACGAATACGAATTTTGATTTACCTATTTGTTATGAAATTCTGGTAGACCGCTACTACTAAACTAAATGGCAAAAAGTTGCTTTAAAGCTTTTAACGGGTTTACAGTCAATTAATAATTAATTATTACCGTGTCAATTCTCTGAAATAGGCTTTAGGCAAAATCTCTTGACTTTTAGCATTTATGTCTCAAGAATTATTTTTGTATCATCATCATCACCCTATCGCAGTCCACTGTTGGACATAGGCCTCTCCCATTGCACGCCTCTTAAATCGATTTTTGTATAGTGACTATAAAACAATATAAAATAAAAATTCAACATTTACAGTTAAAATATACTTTATTTTCAATAAAATACGAAAACATAAAAAAACATTGAAATATATTGTTAAAACCTTCAAAAATATTTTTGAAAATGATAATGTTATTTGAATACGATAATAGTTTGACCATGGGAGTGGGTCTCCCATGGTCAAGCTTCCATCACAAATGAGGCGACTTTCGATGGCTCAAAACCAGTGTTAGGCAATTCTTCTCCCCTTTATTTCTGGGAGAGTGACTCAATGGGCTCTGTGGTTTTTGAGTTGTAGGTGTCCATATGCGGTGGTGTTCACTTACCGTTAGGTGACTCGTCTGCTCCTTTGCCCCCTATTAAGATAAATTAAATACTAATAATATGTAAAATTATACAAAATACAGCCTTAACATGGCAATAAATAAATCAAAAAGTAAGAATATAATATTTCAAGCAAAGGGATCAGGATCTAATGAGGCGTATATTACTCTCATTGTATTAGTAGTGCCACTTCCATTTTTCCATCCCGAGATGATCACTATAGGGTCGTCATCTCTTGCGAATCCCTTTTCTATAGCCCACCTCACGCCACAGTTGGCGCGTTTCTCAACATCTCGCATCCATGTGATATCCGGATCATCTTTAAGAATAATTCTCGTTAAGTGCAAAAATAATATTAATAAGCTTATACATCTCAAATACGGCTGTCTGACCCCAAACTAGGCAGAGCCTTGTACTATGGTAACCGGACTATTTATAGACATACTTATATGTTTCTAAGTATATACAGTTCTATATAAAGAAGTCTATATAATTATATAAGTTCTATATTATTTTTGTATTTTGGTACAGGCACAAGGAAGGTTGATATGGAGAATAAACGTGAAACTTGGAAGGCTCTTCATTTCCCATATAAACCACAGAGTAAAAAAAAAACCACTTGTTCCCTCAAAACAACTTCAAGCTTCAAACATTTGATGTCGATCAAAACAAAACAATGGCGTGTTTCGATTATCTTTGGTATTATTTCAAGTTAATTAGGCTGTATGGATATTATCCTACTCCCACCCAAAATAAAATTCAAAAAAAAATATAAACGACCATAGCTTCTTTGAGCTACTGCAGTTCATTTTCCGCACTTAAAATGAAAATTGACCTGTCTGAAAAGAATAACATCTCTAAAGAGTATTGGCTTTAGGCCGTAAAAGAAACTGCATTAAAATGATAACGAATAATTATGTTTCTAAGAAAGTATTTTATGCATATGCTAACGACGTCCTATTAGTTAACAGCGAATGCTGTACTGCAGCGCCAATGTGAGGTATAAAAGTATTGCTATAAATAGATTTTAGTGTTTTAAATTTATTGTATCCAAACCTTCATAAATAATCGGTATGATTCCTCTCCACATATGCATCTGTCTCGCTACTTGTACATATCTCGTTACAGCAATTATTGGACATCTAGGTCGGAATTTCGCAACAATATGCGCTGAATTACCCGTAGTTGTGATCACTACGATTGCTGCTGCCATACATCGTTGAGCAGCTAGTACACCCGCTGTTGCTGTACATGTTTGCTGGTCACATGGCAATGGTATCTGAACGTTTTAGAAATAATATATTAGTCATTGAAATGCAGTAATATTTTAAATCGAAGACATACATCATAAGCAATATAAGTTCAAAACTTAAACTCAAAATATGTTTATTTCATAAAAATATATATTTAGCTAAATAAAGTCAATTCATTATATGTCTGTGCCGATCTACAACCGCTTCTTGTCGCTTTATTTTTAATATAAATAAATCGGAGAACAAGCTAACTTGAGCGATAAATAACCTTCCACCAAAATACCTCTCTTGATTTTACTTCTCCAGTTGCTGCCAATAATTGTTATGATTATAAATATGAGCTTAAATTACCTGCATTAATTAATCTGTATCATTAAAACAGACAAATATTTTATAGTCATTAAAAAATTAGAGAAAATCGATCTAAGTGGCGTGCAGTGGGAGAGACCTATGTCCAGCAGTCGACTGCGATAGGCTGATGATGAAGAAAAAAATTACCATATCAATTAGGTCCGTGAAAACTCTTTTTGACCATACGCAGGTTTCGGCTTCTTTGCATGCATTGCTCAAATACGTAATAGTTTCTACCGGAAACTTTCCAACTGCTGTTTCAGGACCGAGTAGTAGAAAGTCAGCACCATCCAGAATACAGTTGGCTATGTCAAGCACTTCGGCTCTAAGTGGAACTTTGTTATATATCATGCTATTTAGAAGATGAGCACTAATGCAGATGGGAATATTCGCCTGGAAAATGGTAGGCAAACATATATATGAAATTTCCATGTTTAAAATTATACTAATTAGGATAGATTGCATGGCTTGCTAAATCTAGTGAGGACACCAATTGCGTATCTATTTACAAAGATTTCGTTAATTCTAAATCTAAATTATATACATATTACTATTTTTATCATGTTTTTCGAAACAAGTTACCTTATTGGCTTGCACGATCATTTTCTTCTGGGCCCGTACTAGTTTCTTTGGAGTAATATCTGATCCTAGTTCTTGTCGATTTATTAGAATCGCATCAGCTTCCTAAGTTTTAACTTCAATGTTAGAAAAAGGTATGTATACTCATTCTAACTACTATTAGAATTATAAATGCGAATGTACGAGTATATTGGTTTAATACTAATAATAGTCATCTAATCTGACATTCACGTTGTCTGGGGGATTTAAAAAAAAATGTAGAGTATATTTACAAAATAAAAATGTTCATTACGCGAAAACAAAGAGGTGAAACCTGATGTTATATACAAAGTGGAGTCGGCTAAGTATCACAAGTCAGCCTTTAAACGATATATTATAACGAATTTATTTATTAATAGTGATTTGAGCTACGTTACTACCGTTCACAGAGACACAATTAGTTTAAAAACTATTGGCTTGGAGGTTTAAAACCAATGGGAGATTTAAAGGAAGAATCCTCAAATATTATTTGAGGATTCTTCCTTTAAACCAGTTGCTATGACCAAGAAAGTACTTCGATTCTGTCTGCCTTGGAATAATTCTAAGTCTTAAAACTACATATATTTCTAAGTTTTAATTTTCTATTTTTATACAAAATTTACAGTACTGATTCGAAATATTGAAACGAAACGTACTCTTGATACGTTACGTGAACGTACGATGATATTATATGCAAACAAGAGGTAGATACGCCACCAACTCACAAAACGCGAGGGTCCTAATTAAGACCACTGCGAGCTAGCACACGTACTAATTAATTCGAGAAAATTCATAAAATGCCTTCTTGTGTATTCCGAAAGTGCACGAATTACGACAAAAAGGTACAGAAAAAAAAGGAATATGATACTACAGGTAAATATATGTTTTGTTTTAAAATGCATTAAAAGATGTATGTACGGTTACGGAAAAAATACTTTGTGCGTGCAATATGAATATAACGTATCTTCCTTAAAAGATCATTGATTTTTAGCCTCTGGACTTAATGGCCATGCACATTTCAACTGCTATAAGATTAATATAAAGATACTGTGATTAATTAAGCCATAAAAAATCAAACCTTTAGAATTTCCTCAAAATTATGGCAACCTTGAATAGTTTGAATGTTCGCCATTATTGCTACTCTTTTTCCTTTATCTGAAAGTACAGTTCTTAGTTCGGTGATGTCAGCCGCACAGGTCACGTTTGAGGGTATAATAATGTCAATCTGTTTAAAACATAATGTATCATTTTATTATTTGTATTAAGCATAGAAATTCGTTGGTTATTTATTATACAGACGTGGTACAGATAAGTACATTAATGCAATCTTATGAGATTAATACATTAATATTATTAATGCGAAAGTGTCTGTCTGTCTATCTATCTGTCTGTTACCTTTTCACGCTTAAGCCGCTGAACCGATTTACATAAAATTTGGAATAGCCATAGTTTAAGTCCCGGCAAAGGATATAGGATAGTCTTCATCGCAGAAATCGCCCTTTAAGGGGGTAAAAGATGGGGGCGTTGTATGGGAAATCAATAACCGCTGAACCGATTTTAATGAAATTTGGCATGGAGTGAATTTAATTCTTGAGGAAAGACATATTTCTTTTTACCGTGATAACCGATATACACGCGATTGGAGCGGCGGGAAAAAGCTAGTATTTTTATAAAGTAACATTTACTAGTATTTTATGAAATTCTTACCTGCTCCTGTAACGCCATTTCAATGTCAAGAATATCCTTTTCTGGTAAATTTTGCATAGCAAATACAACGTTTGGTACGAACACATCTTTGTAAGATCCTAAAATGCCGCCTCGTTCTATTTTGCATGTCAATGTTGTTGCAGAAATCATTTCAACCTTTAGCACTATGGTTTCATTATCCAGTAAAATAGTGTCACCGGTATGCAGTTGCTCAGCTAAATACATGTAGTCCACATATATTGTAGAATTGGAACATCTGTCGTGGTAGGTCTCATCAGTTGTCAGTTTCACAGCGTAACCCTCTTCTAGTGTTACACTGTCACCTAAACTCTGAAATAAAGTCAGCCCTAAAATATAAGTCAACCATACAAATAACAGTGAAGTAGAATGTAACACATTTGAAGAAATCCACAATCCATTATTATGTAGAAAAAACAAAGAAAAAGTACCTACTTCGATAATACGCCCTGTTCTCATTTTCCGTCCAGACAAACGCATAGCAATGGCTAAGGGGTATGTCTTTCCCATAGTAATACTGAAGCTCTTAGCAGCTTCTCGTAACATTTTAATAATTTCCCTATTTTCTTCTCTTGTCCCAAATGACATATTCACATAAGCGAGGTTCATACCCACTGCCATCATCTTTTCCATAATGCCAATGTCGAACGTTGAGGGCCCTGAAGCAACATCAAGTCTATTATTTTGATACGTAATATATTAATGACCATTGTTAAACCAGTGATTTTTTAATTAACATTGTTGGTATTGTTGCGCCATAAGATTGAGTGGTTCTTGTGTTGTGTCTGGAGGACAGCACCAACAAGTATCAACGCTACGCATTGAGATTATGGTCCTTAATTGCGATACTTGCTTGCAGTGCCATCTAGTGTCGAATATCGGAAGATCATAGCAATAGATGTAGATGTGTGTGAAGTAGATGCCTTATTGTACGTAGTTCTGTCTGGAACATTCCATTGAATATTCGGGATTAGTCTAGTAGTTTCGATAGCACTATAAAAGCGGAGCGTGTTGGCCATACGGGACAGTATCGTTTTACGGCACATCGAATTAACATCGAAGCAAATTTCAGAGACGAACGAGTGCGACTAACGAGTTATATAGTGATTTCTTGTTTGTAATAGTGAGTGTTTGTAAATACAGTGCAAAAAAAGTAATTAACCGACTACTTTCTTTTATTGTATACCCCGCTTGTAGCAGTATTAAGTGATGTGAAGGATGAGAATTTGTAAGATATGACTACAAATCATATCTTTCTATCAATATTCTCTCCTGTATCATTATTTCACCGTTATTTTATATATATATATATATATATATATATATATATATATATATATATATATATATTTATATATATTATTATTTTTATATACAAGTAAAATATATATTCCCACTGAGTTGAGAATGAGTTGAGCAAATATAAAATGTTCATTCGATGTCACTTGTACAGTCAGACAGTCAATCAGTTAATCGTATGTGGACTTAAGAATTAGCAGGCTTCGTGATCTTGTTACAGTGGTATTAGAATTTGCTGATTTTATACAGTCGGACCTGATGGTCTAGTGGTCAGTGTGGGTTCGATTCCCACCCAGGACAAATATTCTGTGATGAACACGTTTTTTTATTCTGTGTCTGGGTGTAATTTATATAAAATATTTATGTATTTCAAAATATATAAGTATGCTTATCAGCAGGCTGGTTACTACAGTTCAGGCTCTGTCTAGTTTTGGATCAGACGGTCGTGTGTGAGATGTGTTAGAAATATTATTATTATTTTATATTTTAGAGAATATTTTAAGAAACTACAAGATTTTGTTTTAAAAGGTGGTGTTACCCATCGATGCCATAATTCCTGAAAGTCTTTGGCACGCTGGATCAGCGTCTATGTCCAAGTTTAATAGATGAGCCATTGGTGAATTAGCATGTGCAGCAGCTATTTGTTGGCCAGGAAGATCCATTGCACTATACTAAAATGAAAAAGTTATCATAGCCTTTTTTAAGTAATACCCATAAATTGAAATTACCGTAGCTACTACAGTTTATGATAACCCATTCTTGTTAAGCTATCATGCAACGGTATCTGTCATGGTATTTGTAGCATTCGGGATATATGTGAGACTCATCAACACTTGCATATTTATATTAAAAATATGAAAGTGAGTGTTTTTGTTTATTTGTTACGCTTTCACGCTTCAACCACTAAACCGATTTTAAAAATTTATTCACCAATTTAAAGCTTCATTATTAGCGAGTAACATAGGTTACTTTTTACAGCGATACCGACATACACGTGGGCGGAACCACGGGCAAAAGCTAGAACGTACGATAATTTGCACTCCGTCTGTTAATAACATACCTAACTATCATACTTTTGCCAAAAATGTATACTTTCAAATACTTACTCCATCCACTTTAGCATCAAATATAGTAGGCCACGTCATTTTATAAAGATACAAAACAAAATGCAATATAAATGTTCTTAATTATTATTGTCAAAGTATCTGACACATAAGCTTCGCCACAAAATAAAAGTAAAGGAAAAGAAAATTATTTCTGGTATTCCAAAGAGAACATGTGATATAAGACCTTCGTGTTAAAAATATATATTTATATGACAACCTTACTTACTAAATTAGCGTTGTGTATATTAAAAAAAACTTTTTTTGAATAAACAGTAAAATAAGTGGTTTGCAAGTTTCAGAGATAACTTATTATACAGCCTTTTATAGTACTGCTCTACAAAGGCTTTAGAATGGAGGTTTAACTTAAAAGAAGTATAGGTTTTTAAAGGAACTTAGTATATACGTATACAATGCAATAAATAAATGCTTGTCACAAAATAAAAAAATAAATATAAAAATAATAATAAAAAAAAGTTATATCATGTTTATGAAAATATTATTATACATTCAGAAAAGAGTGAGAGTAAAATTTAGAGGCAGACATAATTTTTTATGAATATCCTTTAAAAAACCTAACCACCTTTAAAAATATAACAAAAAAAAAAATCATATTGTGTTGTAAACTTTCAATCTATTTTATTTTACAATGTATCTTCGATATCTTTATTTGACAACAATTATTATTGTCCACTCTGTTATTAATTCTTAACGATTTGCTTTGTCTGACACAAATCCTTTCGGCCTATAAAATATAGGATTAAAGGTATTTATAAAAGTCAGGTGGACCAGTACTAAATACTGATTATAGGTAAGCTTAATAATAAACAAGTGCTTCAGCTGTCGCAAACAATGCCGGCGAAAATAAAGCCTTTATATATAAACCAAGTACAATTCTATTTGTGATATAACTGGGTTACCAATTAGGGATCGCAAAACAATATAAATTTGTAAATATAGGCCAGTGTTACTCGTATTTAAGAATGAAACTCTTTTGATGCTATTCACCGAATGAGTGAGCTTCCCAAAGACCTCTTTCCCCCCTCCCCACACTTTAACTCTGAGAGGGGGCGTCTCAAAGGGCGACAAAAAACTTGTGTCTCTTGAGTTGCAGATGTAGATAGACGACGGTAGTTACTTACCATCAGGTAATTCGTCTTCTCGATTACACCCTTCACTTTAAAGAAAAAGGAAAACTCTAATCTTTGTCAACAAGTCGTGTATCTATTGTGTTTGTGGACGATGTAAGTTTTTAAAAACTATGAGAAAACTTCTAAAGACAAAGGGGGATGTCAGGCCACCATAGTGGTTTAGGCCCTGAGTGCCCATATGTGAAAATGGATTCAAATATTTCTTTGACAGATAAATAATGAAAACAAAAGAAAAATTAACACAAAACTTGGCGTTTCATAAATGTCAAGGTATTTTTTAAATGTTACACAAGTGCAATAAAGTTCTTGGAAACCCTTCCTGTATACATATATCTAGTTAATATTGTAGTTAAAATCCATCCATTTATGTCAGCCCAAAAACCTTCCACTACTGAGCATGGGCCTCCTCCAGTGGGGAATGAAGAATTTGGCCTACTATACCATGCTGGCCAAATTTAGGAAAATGTCATTAAGTAAACGACAATTGCTTGCTACTGTTTTTTCTTATTTGTATGACTTTTGACCACCATAAAAATAGGCGCATATAGGTGATTACGTCCCGATCTTTATTTTTTACCGATCCTCATCTATAAAATAAGTATATATTTAGTGTCATTTCAATGGTGTAGATGAGGCCATACTATCAATGCGGTTTCGTTTTCACTCTTAATGGTATTAGTCTCATCTGCACCAATGATGGTGCAGGTCAATGGAGCATGCGGTACTATAATATTTATATGGTATATTGTAGGGGGATTTTTTTTTGTAGCACAAGAAAATAAGGAAAAGGGTTTCATGTCTCATAATACAAGAAGCTACGTAACTGGAATTCTATGGTACTATCGGGTATAATTTGCCGCATCAAATAGCTATTTGAACTAGTTTCATGTGTGGAACTAGTAGGTTGCAAAAGTTCCAAAGCAAAAATTGCAAGAATTGCAAAAAGTCGTGTTCCGGTTCTGATTCGTTATCCACAGTAATATAAATAATTATTTCCAGTGTTTCAGGCCATTAAATATTGGCAGCATAATTTGTTAAAATACCTATTGTTCAGTATTTTAGCTTTTACTTATAAGTTTTCTTTTAAAAAACTTTCTCTCGTGTTTTTTTGTCGTTATTATCGAATCGGCAACGTATTACTATTTATTGAACCGTCAAATAAATAATTGGATGGAGTAATAAGTACTGCTTAGTCAGTAAAATCATCGTAGTGCCCTCATCAAACCCGTTCTTAGAAAATACTCCTGTATCATTAATTAATAATAGATAGTAGTTTAAGGGAAGGCAACATGATTTTAATTATAAATTAAAAAGCAGGAAGGAAGCCAGTGTATTTTAAACACTAAAAATGAATATACAGTCTCGCTACTCAATTTATTTTCTAGCCGTTTACTAAGAAGCTGTTTCATGAGAAGCCTTAGGCAAAAAGTCCTCTAGGGAACCACAATTTATAAAATTCACATTCTCCGGATACCAAAATCTTTTGTATTCAGATACGCCTATGTCTCCAAGGGCCACATCAATGTTTCTACAAAATTCACCAACTGCGATATCAAAAGATATGTATGTTACAGACAAATTTAACGTATTCTATTGAGCTTTTGCCCACAGTTGTATTTGTGAAAAATTGGTTTAACAATAACTTTGCACGATTTTTACTACAATAAACTGCGTATATGTGAATAGGATTTGATTTTATGTTTAACTAGCTGACCCACGCAACATTGCTTGCTTCTCACAAAAAGAAACATTTTTCATTGACACTCTATCGGCTCCTATTGGTCGTAGCATGATGTTATGTAGCTTATACCCTTCCTCGATTAAAGGGCTATCCAACACTAAAATATTTTTTCAATTCGAACCCGTAGTTCCTGAGATATTACCGCGAACATACAAACTCTCTCACTATTTTCTGTCTCATTTATTTTTCAAATTATGAGATTTATAAAAAAAAAACTGCTCGATTTTTTTTAAATTTTCTTTTATACAAACGTCTTGATAATAACGAACACAAAAAAATATATTATATAATAGAATTTGATGCAGTCGTTCTGCAGCTATGCGGCATTTTAAAAGGCCGGCAACGCGTTTGTGACTCTCGAGTTGCAGACGTTCATGGGCGGCGATGGTCACTTTCCATCAGGTGACCTGTCTGCTTATCTACTCCATCTAACATAAAAAAAAATATTAATAATGTATATGTATATAGAATTAGCGTACTTACACTGCGGGTATGAGTTTACAACTTCAGAAGGATGAGTGTGGCCATTCAGTAGAAGAGTTTCATAACTCACTGCTGGAACGGTGGTTGTGCTAAGCTAAGTTTTTTTTTATTTCCGTGAGTTATATTTAAGAATCAATTTTCATAGTGGTGAGAGCAATAAAGTAGAGCTAACCCGTTGTGTCACTTATTTTCTATTGGTACACATTTCAAACTTTTAGCTCCAACCTTCCTGATCACGTTTTACCTTGCAGATATCTAATTGCAAGTTAACACTTGGCTCTAACCAACCCTCTTTTTTGTTTCTACAAGTAACTATCGGCCCGTTCTAGCTTCGCAACAGAACCAAAACTGGTGAAGTGCCGAATGTTAACAAAATGTTCAGAATCACCGTTAAACCTAAAATCCAACGTTTTATTCAATATATTTTTTGATTTTGATTTTTAGACAAAGAAAACGCAACTTTGATAATAAATTCTATATTAACAATACATTTACAAACTATGTTATGTTTTAAGACTAAGAAGAATCTTGATCGTCATCTCCACACCTGAAAAAAGTAAACCATTAAGTCGGCGACAGTTTAGATTAAGATTAATTATTCAAAGTAACGTGACGTTAACGTAAATTATCCAAAATTATATTGGATGAAGTCGAATAATCATAGTAGCCAGATGATATAGCGACTTTCAAGAAGAAGGATTGAAAGCAGACTGAATCCAGAGACGACTTCATCAATCATCATCATCAACAGCCTTTAATAGTCCATTGCTGAAAATAAGCCTCTTCTTAGAAAAAAGGTTTTGGCCTATTATAAAAACGTTGGCCAGACGGGTTGGTAAAGGTTTCTGTCAAGTTTTCCTTCTCTCTGCTGCTGTGTCCTGCGTTGGTTTTTCCCTTAGTCGCTTCTTACGACACCCACGGGATGAATAGGGGTGTCGACACTCTGTATTTTTAATCTGTCACCACTCGGACAACTTGCGATCTTTATAAGGTTCTTTGTACATCTTTCTTAAAAATGGCAAATACAAATATTTCAATAACTATTTTCAATATGATACGAGCTTTTAGTTCATATGCTGCAGGTATTTCAAATTATTTATAATCGACAAGTAAGTACTACTTTCCTACATGACTCGATCGAATTGAATTGTGGTGAGTTTTATATTATCATCATCATCATGTCAGACGAAAGACATCACATATAGTACATATGAACATAAGCCTCTCCCAAGTTTCGCCGCAACATTCGGTCCTGTGCTGCCCGCATCTAACGGATTTCCACGACCTTCACCAACTCGTCCGATACAAGAAGTTTTATATATACGTATAAATATATTATAATTGTAAATACTGACGAAATCAATTCCTTCTTCTTCGTTGTGACCTCCAAAATGCGTACTGTATCACAATAAGCGCTCAGTTCAGTGCCTTTTTGAAGTGCGATGTAATAATTTGAGTATGAAAGCCAATTTTTATTTAAAGCATATTCAACAGCAAAATTTATGCGATCTCCTACTTTTTTCTCCCAAGTTCCGTGAGATGAACCTTGAAAGTACAGTAAAAATTATCAAAAACACTTAAGTAAGAAAATATTTACTTTACCCAACTAGTTAGTCCTTCGTGAAGTTTTCTAACATTAAAATCACTCAAAAATTTAAAAATTACGATTGCACTATTTCAAAGACAAATTAGAACAATCATTAATGGACAAAAGACCGTATTAACCATAGGAGATCCATCATCATCATCTTCACGAACAGGCTTTAGTAGTCCACTGCTAGACATGGGCCTCCCCTAAAAAAGGAGGTTTTGGCTAGAAGACCCATGCTTCGGCATAAATGGGCCGGCTCATCCGCAATGATATAACAGTCTGACAGAAAACCGGTGCTAAATAATTCATTTGCTGCTTTTCACCGAGGACAACCAAATCCCGTTGCCCCTAATTCTGGTGGGGCTCAACGTGCAGCAACGCACTTGTAACTGTTAGTTGCAGGTGTCCATGGCTCAGGCCTAGGGGTGATACAGGCCTGGGGGTGACAGGTGAGGTCATTTGTCGCGCGTGCTTTTTAGATTGTAGAATGGAAATACCTATGTTTTCACATCCGAGAGGGTCACATCTACAGGCCGTAGATGACCCGGGGTCAATCGGGGTTCCATGGATTCCCTTCCTAGTGTTTGTCCATGGCTGGCGGTAGTCACTAACCATCACGTGACCCGTCTGCTCGCTTGCCATAATACTTATACCATAAAAAGTACTAAATAATATTAAAAATAAACTCAGGTCTTATTTTCTAAATGAACTACACAGCCTCAGATAAATGTATTTGTCTACTCTCGTATGCTAAGCTATCTTAGCTAGTATTACTTTTTTGCCCTGAATGTTTTTATTTATGAACATAAAATTTACCATGTGGTGATGGATTAAGAATACGGAGGAAGAGCAATACACAGGCAACAGCATTGCAAAGAGAAAGAAAACTTAAAACAAACCCTTTATCGACCCGTTTGGCCAACGTGGTATAGTAGGCCAACACCTTCTTTTCTAACGAGAGCTCTATGTCCAGCAGCAGACTATGAAAGGCTTATGGTGATAATTAAATAAAAAGTAAATGAGCATCTATGATTCTTTCAAATATAAATTTCTTATTTGTTCTACAAAACTAGGTCACTTAGTAACCGTTATTAAAATCACATATTCATCTATGATTCTTTCAATTATTAATTTCTTTTTTGTACTACAAAACTAGGTCCTTTACTATCTAGGTCATATTGCTTCTTTAATAAGTAGATTCAACGGACCACCACGTGTGATTGTCTCATACTTTGGTTGTTTAAAAACAAAATTGAGCTCGCAACCAAATTAAAAGCTGTGTAAGGTATTAGTAAACTACTTTTCGAGGGTTTAAACTCTAACAATATGCTACAACAAACAAAGCAAAACGATACCAAAAACAGAATGATATATGAGTATGTTACCATTATATAAAAGCGGAATAACTGCTCTTTTGATTTGCATCAATCTGAAGCTCCTGATGTTTGTAGTCACTGCGAGGACAAGGCAACCAATTCTAAGTGAGTTCAAGTGGTATACGGTACGGCCAGAGACGGTTGGGATTATGATCATCTGAGCTTGGGTTTCATTTACCAACATTACACATGACGTTACTGCAGCCATTGCTGCGTTTAAGGGTACGGGATCCTAAAATATTTAAAAGTACTTTAATTATATTCTGACAATATTTTGAGTTAATAAATAATACATAGTTCATATGGTTTATATTTCTTTCTCTTGTAACTTAGTGTAATATTATAAGAATATATAATAATAATATAAATCAATATAATATAATATAAATAAACTTTTTGAAAATTCTCGCTTTATGCCTCTTAGGTACACTTTTGTCTAGTAGTAGGTAAAGCAAAATACAAAAGTGTTTTCATAAAATTGTTTGGAAAGACGAGGCGTTGTAGCCGCTTTACTTGTCAGGCGGACTAATCACCGGCTTACCCAGTGGAGAGATTCACGAGATTACCTCAGGGCGCCTTGTAGAAAACAGAAGTGTGTGCGTGTGGGAAACCTACGGGACTCCTTAGAGAAAGACAACTTCCACCTCAGTCATACATACATGTATATTTCCAAAAAAAAATAAAGTTACAATAATAAAAAATAAATAAATTAGTGGGTACATAAAAAAACCGCAGCGGCGCGCGTCAGAGCCGAACTGATGCTGCTCGGAGCCTCCTCGTCTTCAATCCAGGATGTCACTTCCCCTTCCGCCCGAGTCAGCTATTTATATTAGGTGTTAAGGAAGGTTCAATATTGATATTAATGACGTTAACGAGAAGTACGTAACCCATGAGTACGGCTGTCCGCTTGCTTGGTGAGCCGCGTGACTGCCAGTTTGCCAGAGGGTACTGAGAAACTTGATTTCGCACCAGAAGGCCACAAACGAAAAAGCACGCCGTCAGAGACTGATTGTCTTGACCCGAAATCTGGAGCCCTACGAATGGATTAGCACTCATATTATCGATCAGGTTCCAGAAACAAATAAGTACAAGAAAATTATGAATATACTCACCACTGGCGTGGGTACTTCGAACAGATAAAATATTACTAAGATGAAATCACCAGACAAACAAAATACTATTTAAGATCGAAAGACAAGAATTAGCAGAGTGTCCCCTGTGGCTGAAAGCCGGACTTATATATGTTCGGTTTGTGAAGTTTCTAGAAAGAATCCCTACTTTAGTCATTTCAAACTGTCACTCAAGCTATCAACGAGGTTAACACAAACCAAATCAAAAGTAACTCGCTTCCTACCATAACAAGACACCTTCAACACCAATACAATTTGTCAGGATAAATGCATACAATGACTTACCTATAAAACAACGCCATCTAGTGGTCCGATGGCGGACGAAGAACATCAATACTATAGTTAGAATCTACTTTTGGTAAATCTATAAATGCGACGCGGGCAATAGGTGTCGCTGTTTACAACTCCGTACGCAATACTAATATAATAAAAAAATAACTGTTACAGCGTGAGTTAAAAAAACTGCTTCTTACAAAGTAAAAATAAATCTGTAACGAATTTGAATCACACACTCGTAGATACACCGCCCCGCCTTTGTTCCTCTATGATACTTTCGTATAGTACCTACAGTAGAACAGAAAAAAGTTTAAATATTCTTTTTTTTGTGCTGTATTACTCAAACATTCAGAGGAATAAAACACATAATAGATTTAACGATATTACTTGCAGATACGGTAAAGTATGAGCATTTTATTTACAGTGGAGAATTTTAACTTGAAAACTTTTTCTGATTTAATTCATCAAAACAAATTATACAGTATAATAAAAAAAAACGTATGATAGCTTGCTTTCCTTTTCTAGTAAGCACAAAATCAAGCTCCGGAGTAGTAGCATATCTCGAACACCCAGCATTATCATTTTCAATTAAATAGCTATTCTTTACACTGCACGAAACCCCGTCACAATGTGACAAATACGATTATGACATATTTTATTTTTTTATATCCTCTTTGACTGTGACAGAAATAACTACAGAGAGCATAGGTATTAGTCATGTAATAATGTGTAAAATCTTCCCCCAAATACATTTTCCTCGTAGATATACTTTAACAAATTCATCTTAATCTTAGCTCATTATTTAGTGCAAGACTAGACAGAAAAGTGTTTAAAAAGAAAAAAATTGTTTTAGAAACTGTGAAGGATTTAAGAAAGTGGTAGATACCCAGGAATATGACTGCATGAATGGCGTAGTGGTTTAAGCGGTCGCCACGCCGCTTACTACTACGCTGAGTGTTGTGGGTTCGATCCCACAAATGGGACGACACTTTGTGTCATCCATAAATTGTTGTTCTGAGTCTGGGTGTTCTTTGTGTCCGTTTCATGTATGTTTGTAAAGTCTCCCGTGTCCCGGGATATATTCGTAATGCTTTTTAAAATAGGAAAAAAAGGAATAAAAGCGAGGATTCTCAAAAAGTGCATCTACGAGGCCAGTGTATCTACAAGGAATAATTCTTGTGTAAATATTAAAATATATTAAGATCAAGTTGATGCTAAAATGTTTAAGATCTCAATGACTAGAGAGAGGTGTGTAAGCCTCTTGTTTCACTATCATATTATTGTGTCTCATGAATTAATATAATAATAGTAGTAATATTAACTTTACTACTCACACACGGCAGTCTGATCCAAAGCTAGGCACAGCTATCGTTACCAGACTGCTGATAAAATTCGCGTGTCGCGGTGTTTGTTACAAACTACTCCGAAACGGCTGAACCGATTTTTATAAAATTTTGTGTGCATTTGGGGTAGGTCTGAGAATCGGCCAACATCTTTTTTTCCCCTAAATGATAAGGGTGACCCAACCCAAAATATTTTATTATTTATTTTTATTTTATTATGATTTAGCATTGAAATATAATGTAAATGGCAAAACAACGTTTGCCGAGTCAGCCAGTAATAATAATATAATACTTTCAGACAACTGACACACCACGCCATCTAGTTTCAAACTGAGCAGAGCTTGTAATATGAAAACTAGATTGACTGATATATGACTGACTTATATACTCTTATTTTTTTTTACATACAAAATACATACTTAAATGTTCGTTCGTGGTGGGAATAGAACACAGATAATGAGATTGCTATCCTATTTGCCACATATTATCATGCTAGGTCTACCTTTTGACTCACCTCTTCAATAATTCTTCGATAATCAATCTTTTCATTAGTGTACGGTTCTATTTCAGTGCACAGACTGGTCAATTCCTTTATGACGTTTCTTGTTGATTGAGAGTTATCGCACGGTTTCAATAAAAAACCCGATACTCCTTGCAGTAAGCAATGTGTAACATCAGTTGCATCCTGCTCGTTTAGTTTACCTGTCTTAAATACACTTTTGAAAATTTGACCAGAAACATAGGCTGGTTTTCCGGCCTAAAACCACACCAAATAAATATTTATCGTTAGTAAAAGAAAAGCGTGTGCATCTTAATCACAATGACACTAACTGTTATAACACATTTTACTTTTATAAAAAAAAATATAATGCTCATTAGTCACAGATAAACATAGGTATTATTAGACAAAAATTATGCTGTATGAGAGATTCAAAATGTACAGTAACAGAAATCCAGATAAACTACTAGTGGTCGCTTTTTTAATTGATTAATTACTTTTTGGTCCGTGTGGTGACGGATTAAGAATACAGAGTGTCACCACCCCTATTCATGCCGTGGGTGACTAAGGGAGAAAACTAAGCAGAGCAACAGCACAGAAAACTTGACACAAACCTTATACCAACTCGTCTGGCTAGATTGGTATAATAGGCCAAAATCTCCTTTCTAAGGAGAGGCTTATGTCCAGCAGTGGACTTTTAAAGGCTGTTGATGTGATGATGATGAATTACTTTTCAAATTTATTGTTACTTAATACTATATCGTTATCGTGAAAGAGCTATGCTTCGTCACAAATAGGTCAAAACCGTCCTAATCGCACTTCTAGTTTAAAATATTGACAAACCAATATAATCTGAGCTTAAAAACCAATTTAATAGTTAGTGGGTACTATAATACGTGTTCTATAGGTGTAATAAGGTCTATGTGGTTTAATGATTTTTATAATGGTTTAACTTTGTGCTTGGCATCATACAAAATTTAGTTTTTTAGGTGCTCTTGTAAAATTTGTCTCGTATACTATTTTAGGATTTGAAATTACTCCGTCTAGTAACTGATGATAGTAAAAATATTGATGATGATGCGACCTTACCCGGCGACATTTTCCAACTATATATTTTTGTATACGGTCCATGCTGCTCATCATTTTTCTCTCCAACTCATAAGGAAGATACTCTCTAGAGACTATGATCCCGTCGGCCTCCTGAGTAAGGTTTGAACATCATACTTTTGAAATACATCACATCTTAGAATTAATTATAAAAGCCTCATTATTTTTTTGCAAAGCGTTGTATGATATAGATCTGATTGTTGGAACTTTTACTTAGGTGATGTTTGTGCCTCTCATATTTTAGAAATTGAATACCTTTATAATATCATCTACGTTGCGAAGTCCTTCGTTGGTGCATATTCCACAAACCAAGCAGGTCCTCTTTAATGCAGCTCCCAGGAATTTCTTAAGCCTTTTGACAGTGTCCGGATGACGAGCATATTGTATAATGATCATGTCTACCTGTAAACACGATTGTGCATTTAAATAAAAAAATTAAAAATTAAAAACCGTTAAGAACGGTTTTCTCCTTTGTTTTTTGTTTTTAGCCTGAAAGCGACTATAACTTTATTTAAAAAAACACATACGTATAAAAATGGTAAAAAAAAGTATTAGCCGACTTTTATACTACTGAAAGTAAAGAAATAATTTTGATTTTATGTCAATCCCACAAATATTTTTTCATTGACCAGTACAAATTGAACTGTTATTATACAGACTTCTCATTTGACCTTTGAGGCTTTTCTACATTATTTTCAAGATTATACATATTATATAAGTTTTAGCTTGCTGTCTTTCTTTGACAATGTTTTCAAAAAATCAAACCTCGTTATCCATGGCCAGTTTCGCTAATTCCAAGTCCTTCATGGATAAGTAGGAACGAGTACGTTTAGCTCCTCTCATGCACACGGAATCCAAGTTCTTCAGATATCCAGCCTTGATCACAGTACATATAACACGATCCGTTAATATTTTTTTAACTATCATTATAATGGCTTCCTGTCTTATAGATACTTCCATTCCCTCTTTCGTTTCTGAGGTTAAGTAAGGATTATCGACAAATATTTTATTTACATTACACTTGTCATATTGTTCTAGGTCATTTGTTAAAGTAACTTCAGAATCTGCAGGTATGAAAAGATGAGAACCCTGAAACAGATAAGGAAAGATAAAAATAGATAAGGACAATAATCAACAGCACTGCAGAGGGAAGGAAAACTTGACAAAAACCCTATAACAACCCTTCTGGCCAGCGTGGCATAATAGGGCAAAACCTCCTTTCTAAGGAGAGGCCTATGTCAAGCAGGGGACTATTAAAGGCTGTTGATGATGATGGTGATACATAGTTCTCTATTACGGGCTTCATTCTACCACCAACCGTAAGAAATCAAGAGTTACTATCCAGTTGGGTTTTTATCTATTTATTTATTTTCTTGTATTCGCTGACCTGAGGTGTTTTTATTTTTTGATTTTTTTATGCGCCCTCAACTGGTCTCAAAAAAGTAAAAAAGATTTGAATAAACAATTAGAAATACTGTGTCCTATCCTATGTATTATATCCTGTTTTAAGTGTTTTAGTACAATTTCTGTAGAATAAGTTTACCTGTTCAAGTATTCCAGTCTTTACAACACAAGTTTTCAATTCTATACACGTAGCGTATGGCCACTCGATCATACCATGTTTCTTGGCCAAATATTTCGCAGCTTTGAAAACTTTGGTTATTAGTTCTTTTTTATCGTGACTAGTACTCTTAGCAGGTAAAAAACGAGCAACATTCATGCCTGTTTCCATTATGGTGTGGATATCTACTAATGTTACAGTGGGATTCGCTTCAATAAAAACACAGAATTTAAAATAAATGTAAGATATAATTGTTTATTAGAGTAAATCAAATATGAATAAAATGATAAATAAATGATAAATTTTAAAAATAAAACTAAACTGTTACTTGTAGTATATTTGTATCGAAAAATGTTAAAGTTTAAAGAAAAGATGAACGGTATTTACACTACAATGTAAGTCAGCATCCGATCCGCATAGGAAGTAAACTCTCTACCGGGACACTGTTGAACATGACATTTAATAATACTTAGTATACCCAGCAAAATTATAAGGGCTCTACAGTTAAATAATATTAAAAAAATAGTACCGAATGTAACGATTATGGTGGTTCTTCTATGTTGAAAGGGCCTATGTAGGGACAATACAGCAGGGTCACTATAATCAGTATCGCTAATTTTTCGCACTTCTGAGCTTTCATTGGCGTGTGATGTCATTATTTATATATAAATAGTTACCAAGTAAAGTTAAAAATATTTTATCCTAAAGAATATTCGTAAAATCAAATCAAAAGTCAAGAGCCTATGGCGAAATCACGAAATCATAAAATTATTTATGTCATATTGCAACCAAAGGCAAAAAATTTGATAAATGACATGGTATTATCAAAGAGTTCTTAAGGTTATATAAAGTAAGGAAATTACTAAACATGTAAATATTTACTGATATGAAATTTAGAACCATTTTTGTAAATTTAACAAAATAATGAAAATCTGGCTTTTGTGACTCGCTTAAAGCATGGAATTACAAAAAACATGATGATTGATTTCTCATTCAATCATGGTCCGTTTTGGGTTTTATAAGTTTGTAAGGAAGTAACTATATCAAATCAAAAATACATTCGCATTTATAAAATTAAAATAAAATATCTATCATATTTTATTTTAATTTTATAAATGCGAATATATATCGATATATATCATCATATATATATATATTTAAGCAAGCGACTCGCAAACAGCAAAAGCCAACATTATATCCAAAAAGTTAGATCTAAAGTTGACTGAAAAGCAAATTACCCGTGATATACTGTACCTCAAGGCCATTTGAGCATTGTACTTCTAGAAAACACATCTAGGAGTGGTAAATAAAAAAAAAATAACAGTTTTATCGTAGAGTTGTTTGCTAATTTTGCCCTTTTGATAATATACAAACCTTTTGATAATATAGACTTGCTAATACAGTGATCTGTTTTTAAGTAAATCCAACATTAATTGTGAAACTCAAATGATCTATATAAGGAAAGGGATATAATACTCGTAATTACCAGCACTTGGTCGGACACAAGGTTGCTAGGTGTAATACAGGTATTTTACTGCTGTTTTTTTTCTTACTAAGTATAATATTCGTCAAGACCTGATATATTGGATATATATTTTTTGAATAGACTTCAGACGTGTATTCTTACAAAAAACGCTATAAACTATAAGAATATTTTCTCAAGCCACTATTGAAATCCTAATATGTAGACGAAGGTGGTGACTTGTTAAGAATATGAATATTTAACCCGTGGGTGTAGTAAGAGCCCACTAACTACCAAGAAAACAGAACTGCAAAGAGAAGAGGCTTTTATGCGCAAAGGTGTAATCTCTATGGTTCCAATAATTTTCAATAATTTAACTGGACTGGAAAAGGTTGAATAATATTGCATTAAAAAAATCACTTAAAAGACTTTCTTATACAAAAGGCATACAAGAAGTATTATTATTGGTGTTACAGATTTTATGGCAGATTGTATTCAGTAAATACTTAAATAATATAATATCATCATCATCATCATCATCAACAGCCTTTAATAGTCCACTGCTGGACATAAGCCTCTCCTTTCTCTTTTTTAATCAACATTATTATGTGTATTTTTAATTTCAAAACATTCATTTATTTTTATTTTTACGCCGTAAAAGAAACGGCTAAACACGTCGGAATAAAATATATTTAATACCTTGCAAGCCCATTGCTTATGTATACACGTGCTTAAACAAATTAACGATGATTTAATTTGATTTGAAGGAAAACTTGAAACAAACCCTATAACAATCCGTCTGGCTAGCGTGGTATAGTAGATCAAAACTTTCTTTCTTAGAAGAGGCCTGTAAAAATAATATGCCAATATGATCACACAACACCATCTAGTCCTAAACTAAGCAGAGCTTGGACAATGGGTACAAGACAACTGATATAAATACACACACTTTTTTTTCTACATACATATTATACATAAAAACACCCACACCAAATCAAACATTAAATGTGAATGCACACAAATATTTGACTTGACCGGGAATTGAACCCGAAACCTTTGGCGTTGCAGTCCATTGCATAAACCAACGCCATTCGGTCGTCCTTATGTCCAGCCAGTCAGCTACTAAAGACTGTTGATAATTGTGTAGCAAAGTGCCTTTCAATGAGTGAACCTACTTTTAATGTATTGTGGAGGAGTTAGAGTCATGTCCCTAAAACACAAAGGGAGGATCCTCCAACCAGTCGAGGTGATCATGCCTGGCGCGCCGCGGCCCAATGAGAATGATGTAGATGAGAATTGTTCAAATCGTGATACAGGATTAGTAATTTTCATTCAGGAGTTACTCAGTTCGGTGCGTCTTCATTAGATGGCGCTGTAGTATGTTTCTGTTTTCTTTTATGTGGGAGTCGCCACAGTAAAAGAAAACAGCTATTTTGGGCCCTTTAGTAGCTCAGTGTACTTATATAGGCAGTAATTTTTAAACAATATTTTCATGAAAAAAGAATGAAGATGATTCACATCACATCACATCAACGGCCTTAAATAGTCCACTGCTGGAAATAGGCCTCTCTTTAGAAAAGAGGTTTTGGCCTACTATACCACACTGACCAGACGGCTTGGTGTAGGGTTTGTTTCAAGTTTTCCTTCTTTTCGCAGTGCTGTTGTCCCGCCTAGTTAGTTCCCTTAGTCGGATCTTAAGACACCCACGGGATGAATAGGGTGGTTATACTCTATATTCTTATTCCGTCACCACACGAAGATTAAATACATACATAAGAGAAGATGATTATACTTTGCACAAAGTTTAATTGAATGTCATCTATCCGCTTCCGTCTCAGGTCGAATATGAAAACGTACACATTTTTTATTTTATTTTTTAGGTAAGAGGGGGCGGCCGAGTAGACGGGTCACCAATGAACGTCTGCAACTCAGCAGTCACAGTTGCCAGCCTTTTATTATGTACTGTCGTATTATGGACTCTTACTGATAATTATACTAAACTGAAATGAAAGACAAGTCAAAAAAGTATTTTGAGTAAGGATTAAACAAAGGAACATTACTTTATGGATCTATCCAGGCAGAAATCTATACAAAACAGTAATTTGTCCCGTTGAGAATCTATAAAGGTGCTGCGAAAGTAATACCTAAGATAATTTGATCACAGCCTTTTAGATTTGAGACCACACAGAAGAAACTTATGATTTTCATTTTAATATCTAAATCCTATTGCTGTCAACCGGGCATTATTTCTAAATAAATATACTTTAAAATTGTAAATAGATACATATTATGTACAGATACAGAACAAATGATTGTGTTCACAACCTCTAGCATAGCACAGTGGATCGTTGACCACTAGAACACGTCTCAAGAGGCGGCCTCGGTCTACTAAGGCTTTCAGAGACTTCCTGTATTGTCTTGTATTGCTATTTTCTTGCTATAGAGTAGCGGGTGATAGAAGTAATGGAGTATTTAGATTTCGACATATCACTGAGCCCCCTACAGATTTATCGTGTGTTATCAGTTCACATTCTAAACGGGAGGGTTCACACAGGATCAAACACACATTGTCTCATTAACAATATTTTTATGTTCGCGTAAACGTTTCAAAATACTAAAAGATATTCAATTATTATGAGACATTAATTTCTTATTAGTTAAATATACGTACCATTAAATAAAAGTCTGGTAAACATTAAAAAGCTATTATGTATAATTTACAAAAAAGACATAAAAAAATAAAAACCATAATAAACTATATGTTAGACAATTATTTTCTTCTGTACAGTTGCTTTATCACCTTCCTTGCAAAGATTGTTTTAATTTTATTCTGGGAATCAAAAAGTTCACGGTTAAAAAGTCAAAGGTGCTCGTGGCTAAGTGGTAACAAAGTAGGCTAACACATTGCAAAGTTAAGCAATCCCAGCCACGTCAGTCTATGGATGGATGACCCTTCTTAACACAATGAAACCACTCCGTGCTTCGGAGAGCACCTTAAGCCATCGGTCCCGGTCGCCACACAAACATCTGTGGCAATCGTTGCGGGTATTTGGAGCCCTAAAAACTCCGAAAACAGTCTTTCTACAGACTTTCGATATCGCCTAGTACTTGGGTTGTGGAGGTCTGATGGACGGCGAAGTTCAGCCGTATCGTAGCAGACTTAAAGCCGACCCCCAACTAGTTTGCGATAAAGTAATTAGTTGATTATCCACTATTTTACTAATATGTAGTAGAATAAAACTAATTTTACTTCATAAAATATAGTTTGACAGCCAGAAACAAATCCGACGACACAATTTTAACCGGACGTCTTAATGACACTCGTTTCACAACACCGCCAATCGCGATTTTTCGCAATTAACAATAATTACACTAAGAAAGGCTAAATATATTTTAAAATCAATACTGCCTGGTTATTGCCTAAAATAAAAACATTTTTTTTTTAATTATTGATGACTACGCGACTACAAGGTCAATGGTACAAAAATCTAGGGATGATCATTTGATTATTTTATTAATTATTTTGGTTTTGATTTTTCTGCACCGTTGGATGAAGTCTTAAACCTATATGAATATAAAATAATGTTCTGTAACAGTTTTATAATTTATTTATCTGAATTTATACACCTAAAACACAAATATACATTCTCAAGTCCCATTTAAATATTGTAAAAAAAATAATATAAGTATTAAGTTGATATACGTAATAACATCGAATGTTGGGAGTTTGTTTTTCGCTTGTGACAATATTTTAAACATGATGACCAAAGTGGTGGACTGTTGTTGCCATCGTGTGTTTTCCAACAGTCATATGCCAGCTATGGCAAACACCTCAGCTACCCTTCCGGCATAGGGCGAGCTTTAGTGAGTTACGTAGATGCAGAAAAATATATCGACCAGTCTTTTAAGGACGAAATTTAATGGCCACACTACAAGTGATGATAGCGTAGTTAGTAAAAGTTAAAAAAGCGGATTTGCTTTTTAAAGAGTGACAAAAGAAAAATTATATAGAAACGTAATTTTGATTCAAAATTAATTTTCATATAACTAAAAATACTAATTAAGATAACGTTGTTTATTTTTTAAGAAAAGTAGCTCAATGCCAATCACACTGCCTCCATGTCATGGACAGATGACAAGGCTGAGTCAACCACTAAAGTTGCTGGTGGTATGCTGGTACTTCGTCAGGGTTTGTGCCCGTCCGACATGCCACCGACAGGTGGTATCCGAGGGGATTTCCGCACGGAAAAAAAAAAAAAAAAAAAAAAAAGGGTTTGTGCCCAATTGCTTATTGGATTTTAAAACCACAAGAACTACCAACTACCTCTAAGAAATGAATTTTGTAAAAATAAAATAGTGGTTCCTTACCTTCATGTAGAATTTAAATGGGCCTCACTATCATAATGGATAACGCTCAACGTGATAAAAACAAAATGTTAGAAATTATAGAATGATTGTAAAATAAAGGAGTCGAGGCCAATGAGATTACTGTATAAAGACATTCTGACTAAAGTTGGTTAGCATCCTCAAGCCCCGAGCTCCAACATATGTTTAAGATGAAATAACAATAAAATGTACCCAACATTGATCGGTATCCCACCCTATCATTGCCAGTACAACGCCATTGAGCTATTGAACCCATCTGGACCAATTCAAACGTTAGTATTTTTTATAGCGTAGTTACAAACTGTTCATATATATCTCTCTCCACACGTGGTAATAGTTAGTTATTGTACCATTGTATGTTATGGATATGTTTTTGTCACTAAAAGTAAGTGTTGTGAAATAAATAGCATATTTGCAAAATTTTCCCACTTATATTAAACTGATACTAATTTTTGAAGCTTCAAGTCACGCAGCCAAACATAATATGAAGACGCCAATCACAGTAAATAAAACACCTGTGTAAAGTAACGCCAGAAGACTGGAAAAGGGTTGCAGAGGGAACCAAAATAATCACCCAGACAGTCAATTTCGTTAAATAAACTTCGTTCAAAATTCAGTTCCGATCAACTCTTGATCTCACAAATGTCATAAAAGGTATTTTCGAAGTATTTAACTTCCTACGTTAAATGATTGATCAATCGTTAAATGACAGTAGATCGGCACTGAAATTTGAAATTTTTATTAACAGAATTGATCCTCAGCAAACTGGGAATGAGAAGTACAGTTCGTACGGAGACGGTAGAATGCCAGCGCTGCGCAGCGGACTGGGACTCCGCCTAACATACGCTGGAAGGCTACCCCTCGTGGGCGTCTAAACGCGAGGTCGATCAAATCGAACGAGACCTGTCTCCGCCAGCAATCATTGCTGCCATGCGGCGGTAGTAATTGCTGATTGCTGAGTGAGGTGGGTGCATTGGTCTCTTTCTGTTAAGCTGTAATGCTCCAGAAAGAGACCTCTAAACGGGATCTAGAGACGGCGATATCAGTCGTCGACGGGGCCGCGGGCTGCCAGAGAGTAGGTACTTCTTTTGGCAGATTTATTGCTGCGGTGGGCGATAAGATGGCGGCGTGGTCGCAATATGAAATCGGTCTGCAACACATTTTGATTGGGCGGATAGAAGGCCCCCGCCTTCTATATGGGGGAGGGAAGCCACGCTTCGCCTGCGTTAAGGCTTGGCTTGGAGAGGAACTTGAAATAACTTGTCCCGGTTCTCTAAAGCAATGCACCTGAGACCGGCTGTTGTAGTGGTTTTTAGTTGAAACCGTTTTTGTTAGAACGGATATCAGAAGATTTTCCACTCCACGAACAAAAAAAAAAAAAAAACGTCAAAAAAGTTTAAAAATATGATGTTGAACGTTAAATAATTGGAGTATCAAAATAACAATTACGATAAGCTCAAAAATTATAAGCTGTTACAAGCTGAAATGATTTTTGGTGATCGTTGTCAAATTGTTTCAGTTAAGGGTACTTACTGCAGTCTCACATGTTCCTTTTCCGTTAAACTCCACACATCAACTTGGTCACTATAGGAACTACAAGAAGTTGCTTTTCTTAAAGCTACAAAAGGACACCTATATTTTAATATCTCGAATTTAAAAGCATAGGCTGCTCCGAATTTGATTCGAGGATGTTTTTCCGATTCCCAGAATGCCGCCGTATTGTCTGATTACAAAAAAACATTATAATTGTATAAGTATGTATATAGTTAAAAGGTTTCGAAATATCAAACACGTAATATATAAGGAGATTTAGTTCATAATGGAGAGGAATTAGTTCATAATGTTATAGATATAACGATAACAGAAGATATTTGAAAAGTAAATAGTATAACAACTAATATATTAAAAGTTAAAGTTAAAAGTTTCTTAAATAACTATAAAATTATCTTACCGTCGTAAGGAAGAGCTATAACTCCTCTAAATAATTGCAATTTTCGTGCGACTACAGGAGACTTTGAGACTGCAACAATGAAAATATTTTCGCAGATGTTGCTCAACTGCATTACTGTCTGGCCTGTGACAGTCGGTACGATAATTACTTTTGCATCTACTAGCTTTGCAGTTAGAATACTAGCTTGAATGCACGTCTCTGCTGCGTTAAGTGGGATCTAGACGGTAAAAAATCTGATTTGAAAATATGTATATATTAACTTCATAATCGACATTCTCTCGAAGCGTTGATTTTTGTCCAGATGTACCAATATCTGGACAAAAATGGAATGAATGTCTTTATTGGATTATTTTTAACGACAGTACAATTTTTCATTGGAGACCCATGCTTCGACACGTAAAGACCGGTTTGACCAGTGAGATATTATTTCCTTACAGATAATAAAGTGAGAAAGGATACTAGGAATCCCCCCTCTTAGCTCTGAGGGAGGGGGATCACAAAAGTCGGGCATATACATTACTATAACTTTTTATATGGACAACGAATTAGAAAACAATTCTAAACCCATGTTCTTTTAAAGCAATTGAGTATTTCATCAATATCATCAACATCAACAGCCTTTAACAGCCCACTGCTGGACATAGCAAAAACCTCCTTAGAAAGGAGGTTTTTGCCTACTATACCACGCTGGCCAGACAGGTTGGTATATGGTTTGTTTCAAGTTTTCTTTCTCTTTGCAGTGCTATTGTTCTGCGTAGTTTGCTCCCTTAGTCGACTCTTACGACACCCACGGAGGATTATTTCTAAGCATTTGAATCTCGTAAGTGTTGCTTAATATTTAGGCATTAAAATTAAATAGCAGTAACATCCGGATGGACTTTTTATATGATCATACTTGATTGTATTGTTTAAGTAAACATTTGAAAAATAAATAAACCTTGCACGGTATATCCGAAAAATGTTGAGTCTTCATAAGGATCGGATCTTCATCTAGACAGATATTATTTATAAGTGTATATATCTGGTTCATAGTACACTCATTAGAATACGACCTTAAGAAAAGGCCAGCTCCTTGTTTCAGTGCCATAGTCACATCAGATATATCACTTTCAACTAAATGACCGATTAGAAGACTTTCTTGTAGGATATGACCAGACACAAAGAAATGTTTCTCTTGCTGTAAGAAAAAATTGCGTAACATTTTGTTAAAGCTGCAAATTAGGAACTTCTCTACTGAGACAGCGCTTTTTTTTCATTGGTAAGCTCTGCTATTAGTTTGGGAACGCCTAAGTGTTAACACACTCTGGTAAACTTCCAAAATTCCAAGTAGAAGAAATCGTGTTTTTAAGCCATTTCATTAGAAAATAGCCAATACTGAAACAGTAACGTAATAACGTAACCTTTTGTATGAATCTTCCTAAAATAAGTAACGTAGTTTTTTTTTTAAAAGACTGCTCCTGCATTAGGAATATATCATGGGTCGCGGGGGACTTTACAAAGATGAAACGGATACAAAGAACACCCAGACTCAGAACAAAAATTTGAGAATCACACAAACTGTCGTCCCATATAGGGATTGGACCCACAACACTCAGCGTAGTAATGAGCGGCGTGGCAACCACTTAAACCACTACGTGCAGTGCAACGTTTGTAACAAAGATACTATAAAATAATACTACCATTTTACACAAGGCACCAACTTGTAGTTGTATTTTCAATAATTGACCAGGTTTCTCTATCGAGCAAGCTAAATACTCCCTGGCTAGAACCAATCCGTCCGATACCTGAAATTTTTAGTTAAATGCTTAAAAATAGTTTTTTAAACAAAAAAACTGAAAAAATCCAGCACTGCGATAATAAATTGACTCTGAATGTAAACAATAAATTCATCACATCAAATGCTGAGGTTGCTTCCGCATTCGGTAACTTTTTACCAATACGCCTGTATCAACTACTCAATCTTTGAACTCCTCACCTTGCCTTGCAGAATCAATTTTAAAAGATAACGTAGGTGGGATTGATAGTGAATTTGAAATTATTAAAAAAAACCACTGACCTATGGGGAAATTCTCTATTAATTACTGAGAAAATTATATCTCTTGTGGCTAATCCATTGTTATTTACATTTAATCAATGTGTTGATGGTGGTGTATTTCCTGATCTTATGAAGTTCAGTAAAATTAATCCTTTATTAAAATATGACATTACATCTAACTCAACTAACTTTAGGTTTATTTCAGTACTACCAGTATTTAGCAACTTTCTTGAAAAAATAATGTGTGATCACTTGCAAAGTTATTTTAATAATAATTTATTACACAATAGACAATTTGGTTTTAAAAGGGGTCTATTGTTAGGAATGTTATGTTTTATTTATCATAATAATTATATAATTTCTGAATTTTATTATTTTAGAATATATTATCCATCTTCAAATATCCCCTTATTGTAGCTTTTACTTAGTAGAAAGAGTTTTAAATTATTTATAAAACTATTATACTTATCTTCTTGTTTTATGGTTTTGGGTAACTTGTTGTATATTTTTATGCACATTACAAATGGGCTGGATGAGTGCATTTTGAGTCGGGAGGCTGGTATTTTAAATCTATCTTTGTGTCTAAGTATAATTTTGGTTTGTATGTCCTCTCTTTTGCTAAAGAAGTCCGACAAAATGAGGTTGGCAACTGTCTGTCTTCTATGTTTACTAGGATTCTAATTAGTCTTTTCTGGAAAGTGAAAAGTGTATGTGCATTTGTACTATTGCCCCATAGGATTACTCCGTATGTAAACCACGCGTAGGTAAATTCATTCTATATGAAGTGTCAGTAGTTTTTTTAATTTCTCGGAGATAGGTGAATTTTGAAATTTTGGCTTTTATTTTCCAATCAATGTGTCTGTCTATGTCAATGCCCAATAGGGTGCAATTATTTACTTATTATTGTGTATGAGGAAAAGTAGACACCCACCCACCACTTCCCTGTGTGATGGAGGCGTTAATTGGCTTGATTTTTGATCGGATTAAGTGGTTGTACCATTCTATTTCTACTAGTTGTTCCAATGCAAAATTGCAGGCATTTACAGGCAGACACGGATTCCTACACTATTCAATCTGTTTAATAATATATCAAATTGTACTTTATTATAAGCTTTGGTAATATCGAGCATCATTCCTATTGCATATATATTTTCATTAATTAAATTTAGCGCTTCTTAAATAAGCCTTTTCAAATATTTTTGAGGCTGTTGTCAAGAGAGCTATAGGGCGATAGTTTTTTGGATCAGTTTTCGTTCTTTTTTTACGTATCGGCTTTACTATGGATTTTTTTAAAAGCCAGGAAACGTGCTTTCTTCAAAAGATTGGTTTTATAAGTCTTGAAAAGGTGATTTTAATTCATCTGCACATTGTCTTATTAAAGTAGGTGGAAGCTCATCTATTCTGTGGCTATTTTTTTTAAGTTTTTTATTAAGTTACATGGTTCGGTTTGAGTTATTCTTTCAAATAGAGACAAGAAGGTCATTAAAGATTTTTGCTCCTTTGGCTGTGTAGTTTGTTTATTATTTATTTGTAGCGTTATATTTTAATTAACTTTTAATTTTTTTGTTAGTACTCTCGTTCATGATGGACCACATTGTTTCAACTTAATTTTGTAAATTACGAATTTTTTTCGTGAAGTGATGTTTCCAAAAATCCTAATTTTCATAAAATTTGGTTAGTATAGGGTTTTTGTGACTAGGATTTTTAATAACCTTTTATTTTTGCAAGAGGTTTTTATACCTACAGTAAGCCAGTGTTTTTTATACACAGTTTTTAATTTAATTTTGATTTAATGTACAACCGGATGGCGTAGTGGTTTGTGTAACGGACTGCTATTCCAAAGGTCGTGGGATCGATTCCCGCTCAAGTCAAACATTTAATGTTTGATTTGGTCTGGGTATTCCTATGCATAATATGTATGTATTTATAAAGTATAAATTGTGTGAATGTTAATTAAAAATTTAATTTTAGTTAAAGGTATACATTTATTTAAGATATTTCATATTATTTTAAGTATCATGAAACGTTATAATCTCATTCCACTTTAATATCTGTTAATCAGATTTAAATGTAGATTTATATTTTCACAATTAAATATTATTTTTCTTTTTCAGGTTGTTTGTTTGGTTTGTTCTGGTAAACTTAAATAAATCACAGTACTACTATGGTCAGAGAAACCTAACTCTTCCACTGTCGTATACAAAAATCTATATTTAATCATCATCATCATCAATAGCCTTTACTAGTCCACTGCTGGACATAGGCCTCTCCTTAGAAAGGAGGTTTTGGCCTACTATACGACGCTGGCCAGACGGGTTGGTATAGGATTTTCCTGGGAGGATGCTCACGATTCTCTTAGGTATCCTTTGCGATTTACCTAAAGCTTTTGATTGTGTTGTTCATGAAACGCAGATCAGGAAATTAGCACTATGGCACTATGGTATCAAAAGTAAAGCACTGGAACTTCTGCTTCATATCTTACTAATAGGATTCAGAAAGTTAATGTTAACAGTGAGCGATCTCCGGATTTTGTGGTAGAAATAGGCGTTCCACAAGGTTCTATTCTCGGCCCATTTTTTATTTCAGTATATATTAACGACTTACCTCGCCTTGTCGAGGATAATTACGAGATTGTTTTGTTTGCAGATGATACAGCACTATTATTTAGACTTAAACGCAAACTTACCAATTTCACAGACGTAAACAACGCTATTTCGAAAGTGGTTCATTGGTTTGAAGTGAACAATTTGCTTTTGAATGAAAAAGAACTAAGTATATACGGTTTATCACGCCAAACGTCAAGCCAGTTCAAACCACTGTAATGATTAAGAATGTCGAGCTAAACCTTGTATATTGTGGATATAACGACATGAAAATGTAAAACATGTTCATAAAAACAAAGATGGTCTTCAAAGATCTTCTTGAAAAGAAGCAATTTACATGATTTAAATACCAGACATAAAATAAGCTCACTTATAACTTGTTGTACCAGCATTTAGCTCCAAAACATAAACAAGTCATTTTATTTACAAGATTTTAGTATAAACAAATTTAAATCCACAAAAAACGTAAACTATGTCAGAAAGCCTATTACTGAATTGTGGATTACGTACAAGACCAGAATGCTTGGAATTTATTTAGCACAGGCTATTTCTTAGTAGAAATGTGATGTATGCTAGTGGGAGTATGTGTGTGTGTGTTCTCTTCATTGCCCTCTGCCCCTTTTAGTCCTTAAAACTTACATACAGGCACACATCAAAACAATGTTGTGTATATTTAATGAAGCCATTGTTATCTGTTGATTAAAAAAGAGCGGCCGTAAGTTTGTTTGCCCTTTCGTCTCATGAGGCTCAACCACTTGTAAATGTGCGGTTGTGGATAGCCACAGGCATATAAGTGATTTTCGATACGTATAAATTTAGTTTGCTAATTATTTGTCAAAACAGAGATTGTTGTTTTGTGTGTGTTGATTTATGACTTTAGAGTCTACCCAAGAGTATCTGAATAATTTTCTTTTTTTTATTAAATAAAGATATTTGAGTTTGACTTTATATTAATAAAATTCATTGGTTAGTATTTTAGTTACGAAAATGTCAATATCAAGGGGATTATTTTAAATGAAACATTAAGTTCTAAATAAAGTTTTTAAAAATCCTACTTTGTACTAAAAGGGGTAGCTAAAAAGATAAAGCTAAAAAAGAACGTAGCATGTAAAAAAGAAAGAAAACTGTGTAAAAGGCGGGAGGCATAGAAATTAAACATGTCCCGTCGTATCAAATTTTTTAGTGCCCAGAGCGCGCACAAAATCTTTATTTTGATATTTCTGAGTGTCCCCTTAACGCGGAGTATTGTGTGATATGCAGTACGGTTGGGGGATAAAAGATCAAGATGGAGCGCGTGGTAGTCTCCCGGTTGGGTAGGCGCATCGGGCGTTAGGAACGTTGTTTAAGAACGGCCTGGATTTATTACATGTAAAGTATAAACGGGAATGCCATAACTTATATAAATAAATATAAGTAGAGCAAGTTATTCTAATAAATTAGAATTAAATAATATAAATTTACAGCAATAATTTCCTTGACGTTGTCCAAACCTTCTTGATCACATATAACACTAAGAAACAGAGGTATATGAGAATCCTTAAAGAGCGCTTTTAACTTTTCGATTAGCAACGGATTACGGACCGTATTTATGATAATTATATCACACTAAAACAAAAGAGAAAAATTTGCATTGACACACTTTTAACATAAACAAGAATACAAAAATATTGGCACATTATGAATATAACTAAAAGTCATTACACTAAATTAAAGAAATAACAAAAAAAAACAACATTAATAACGAATAGACCACTCAACCTAACATCACCTGGGAAGCAATACTCAATTTACTTTAGACAGATCTTTTATATCAAAAAGTGTCATTGTTTTTAGACACACAAATTTGTTACATTACTTACTTTAGAGATAATTTTAATTGTTTGATACTCTACGAAGGGTATAATCGAAAAGGGTAAACGTACGAGTATACTATCTCCCTACTTCTGTGCCAAATTTCATCCTGAACTTTAAAACCGCCCTGGCGTGATTGAGGAACAAACATCCAGGCTTCCAGAAACTTTTCCACTTATAATAATAATTATCTATCCATTAATCATTCTTATTTACTACTACTCTTATTTACTAAGAATTTTGACTAGGTTAGAACCATCACGATTCAAAAGTCCGCACAGCGAATCCAGAGAAGTCCGCACCAGAGTCGCAATATAAGTGAACATTTTACCTTGTAAGTTTTAGCAAACTCAATATCTTCTAAATCTCTTTTTGATAATGCAGGCTTCAAATGTTTGACTCCACGGATACACACTTTCTGTTGATCATTTATCTCACCTTCCTTTATTACTTTGCATTTGATAGTTTTATTGTTGACAATTTTAACACAAACCATTACTACTTCACCAAAATCCAAGTAAATTTCTGCTCCAACAGGAATAGCGGGTAACGTGTAAGGATCATTCATAAATATTCTTTTTGCGTCACATTTGAAGCAGTACTTCATATCACTTGTCAGTTCAATAATGCTATCTTTTTTCAAAATAACGAAATTATCAGGTATTTCCTGAAAAGTTATTGAGAATATTTTAACGTTAGTTCCTGTAAGAATAAGTTTAAAATAAAAATATAATTCATTTTTTTGAATGTAAAATGTTATAAACTAGAGGGACGACTAAAAAAAGGTAAATGGACTCATAAAAGAAGATATGGCTAAATATTTTATTATTGCACCTAGTTAAAAAAATCTGACAAGTGATAAAGGAAACTAGAAGAAGAACACTAATTGCGCCGACCCCAAACAAATTTAAGAAAAAGACAGGATGATGTAGTAAACTAGTAGTCGCTCTTAAGCCATAACTTTCCTCCGTGGCTATAATAGATTTGTGGATTTGTGTCAATTAAGATGTGAGAACAATTTTAATGAACACCGAGATGTACTGTATACGTTTCACTCAGTCCCACCTAGAGCATGGCCCAGCTAAGATTCAGAGTAACATGAATCATTTTTGATAGCAAAGTGTTTTACAACTTCACATATTTCAAAACGCTGGAAATTAAGTTTCTTTGAATACTAACCTCTGAAAGGAATCCAGTAAAAATGCAGCCGTTGGCAAGGTCTATGGATACAGCTACGGGCCAGTCGCAGATTTCATATTTCTGACAAAACACCTTCACTGCTCGTTTCAAATGGTCTAGCAACTTTATTTTCTCCTCTATTGTATGCTTTGTCAATCTAAATCTTACTATTTTTAATCCATGTTCAATATATTTTTGCATTTCGAATTCTGTTACTTTGACATCATCTGTGACATTATTGCGTATTAAATATTATAACCTAACAGAGACCATCTGGAAAGTTACTCACGACAGTCTCATCTCGAAAGACATTGAGATACAAGCGGGCGTACGTCAGGGATGCTTACTCTCGCCTCTCTTTTTAGTCGTTATCCTAGACGGAATCATGCATCGTGCGAGCCACAGCAACCGAAATGAATAGAGTGGGCAATAACCGGTGCCTTAGAAGACTTAGATTATGCCGCCATCTATGTCTGTTGAGTCACACGTACTGCAACTTGTAGGTAAGCCAAGGACAACCTGCGCCGAGTGGCTGGCATTACAAGGCTCAAAACCAATACTCGGAAGATCCAAGTAAAGCGATCCGGGGTGGAAAGTCGCTTAGCTTTTACGGATTGGTGCAGAGCATGTGGAACGCATCCATAAATTTAGATACACACATACCTCGGGAGTATCGTGTCATAAGCTTGAAGAAAACATCACTGCCCGCATTAACAAGGCTCGTGCTGCCTTCATAAAACTGACTTGTATGGTAGTTACGGATATTGACTCGAAGAGTTAAGCTCAAATAATTTGGGCCCAACGTCAAATCCATGTTATGCGAAACGTGAAAGGTAACTAAAATAATCTCTGAAGCAACTTCAGATCAACTATTGCCTTCACAGTATTCTCGCTGTATACTGACCCGAGAACATCTCTAACGAAAAGCTGTTGATACGCTGTCAGCTGGATTGGCCACACTCTCCGAGGGGACCCTGATTGCATCCTCAAGCAGGCTCTGGGGTGGAACCCCCAGGGGATTTAAATATTAAATTCAAATTAAAACCCCAAACGTGGTCGTCCAAGGCAAACTTGGCAACGAACAGTGTCAGATGACGCGAAGAGCATCAGCAAGACGTGGAGCGACATTAACAATGACGCTTGGAATCGGTCAAGATGAACACTTGCTGTGGACGCCCTCTGCCCCATCCATCATCCATCAGGATCACCAACCACTAGATTAATGATCAGTCTTTTTAATTATTTACATATTTCTCATTCACTTTCATTTTTCAAAAAAAATATGTATAAATTATTGACGCTTTTTTACCATCATCCTGTTATTTGATGATTCTAGTTAAATGAGTTTATCTATTTAAGTATTTATTAAAGCTGTTTTGGGCATGTGTACATTAGTAAAGGTACCTGAGTGACAGTGCTTTTTCATATCACATTTTTCTTAAAAATACACGAACTTAATAAACAGGAAGATGAAATTGTTCTATGACGACTTTCTGCTTCTTGAGTATTAAACGTTTCAATTAATTAACTACAGTAACTGATAAATAACAACAACATAATGGTAAAAGTAACTATCGCCGACGCCATTCACACAACGCTATTTAGGCCCAAACTAAGCAAACTGGTGTTGGTCTAGTACCCATAGTACAAGTACAACTGATATAAATGCATATTTACTTTTTTCGTTATACATATAGGAACCCATCCCAAATGTTAAGCAATTATATTTCACTCACATAATGTAACAATAATCGGTGTTATTCTCGGGGTAATTTTGTATTTACTAGACAAGTAGTTCCTATTATTATAATGTTCGTCTGTGATAGATATCTGAAAGACAAAACACATAATTTTTTTGGATATTTTTCTTTGATTTTTAGACAACTCCCGCATTAGGAGTATATCCTGTGTTGCAGGAGGCTTCACAAACTTAAATGAAACGAACACAAAGAACACCCCGACTCAGAACAACAATTTGTCGTCCCATGTGGGGTTTAAAGCCACATCACTCGGCGTAGTAGGAAGCGGCGTGGCAACCGCTTAAACCACCACGCCATCCGTGTAGTAATTTTGGAATATACTATTAGAAACTTGAGACATCTTATACACGGCTGTTTTGTCTCACAATAGGCAGTCTGTGCTATAATAACCAGCCTGCTTATATTTTTAAATACATGTATATTACAGATAAATTACATATAGACAAAGAACAAATGATAATTTTTATCACAATATTATATGTCCTGAGTAGGAATCGGCAACCTCTTGCTGAGCAATCAGGATCTCCAATCGAAAGACCAAAATATTATTACAATAGAACATTATCATCTGCGGTTAAGATTTTCTGGTTTCAAAGGTAAGTATAGTTTTTTTTTATAGTAAAGATTATGTAGCACGTTGTAAAAGCCTAACAAATCATTATACTAGTTAAAAATTACATAAACAATAGTGATAATGTTTATTGAAGTCAATTCACATGAATATTTATAAATACATAGTTATGAACATAGTTACAGAGACAGATATTCTGTACTAACACATATTCATGAGGGTTATGGCAAGAAGCTAAGGATAACTGTGGATAAGAGTCTACACTCTCAACCTTATCCACATGTATGATTCTCATGAGAGAGCCATGCTTTGGAACATATGGCCGAATTTCGTACAAAACTCAAGGGGCCCCATTTCGCTTCGCCGGAATACTCACATCTTTTCATTACTTTATACTACTTTATACAACCACTCCTATCTACTTAAAGAAACAATTCGCATTTATTCATGAAACACATATTGCTGCCCTTAAGATTTTCAAGAAAAGAGGGTACTGCTCTTTTCTTGAAATTCTGAAGGTAGTATCGGTCCGGAAATACCGCAGACGATAACTTGTTCCACAGGTTGGTAATACGCGGCAAAAAGTGTCTTGAAAAGCGCACAGTGGTGGAGTGCAAATTATCAAAGTGGTGTGGATAAAATTTGTTTAAAACGATGGCGAAAAGTTGCCGCTGGTATTAGTAAAATTATTTTTGATTATATTATCATCAAGGAACAGCCTTTAATAGTCCACTGCTGGACATAGGTCTCTCCTTAGAAAGGAGGTTTCGGCCTACTATTATACGCTAGCGAGATGGGTTGGTATAGAGTTTGTGTCAAGTTTTCCTTCTCTTTGCAGTGCTGTTGTCCTCCAGAAATTGCTCCCTTAGTCGATTCTTACGACACCCAGACTCACTCAGTATTCTTAATCCGTCCCCACAAGTTTGTATTACACATTGAGTATATCCTAATCATGGTGTGCAATAAAGAGTAACTATCTACCTATCTATAGCCTTACTTTTGTTGCTTTTTATGTTAGAGAGGTTTCCGAAATAAGTATTAACTAAAACAATATACGAGTATATCTAGTAATTTAGTTTTGAAATAAATGACGTCGAAAAGCTTAAAGTTGAACTAGCATGTAAACTCCATTTTAATGGGAGACCAAAGAACAGACCTCCAATCCAAGAGCCATAAGCCCGTAGCCATCCTTTGTTAGAAAGCAATTCGAAATATAGGTATAATGTTTTTTTAGATCACGAGATATATTTTTCTAAAACTATTATTAATATAACCTAGTCAATACGTTAATAGGTAATCATATTCAATTTTATTTAGCTAGAGACTTTTTACAGAGAGTAAATGCAGATCTTACCATTGTAAAATCCTTGTGAAGATAAAAATATTATAAAACAATAAAAAAAATGATCTATAAAATAATTCACCCCCCATAAAAAATGACAAGTGTCGGACATGAAATAATACATAGAGTACAGCCACAGAGTATTAACATTATTAGAGAGTTAAAGCTACTAACAAAAAGTTAATTATAAAGAGTTAAAATATATTTGACTGTCTCGGTGCTGCAGTGGTAGCGTATGCGACTGCTGTGATGAGGTCTCGGGTTCCCGGGCCGGACCAAATGTTTGAATGATCTGCAAATATTTGATTCTGAGTTTGGGTGTTTTCTATGTATGTATTTACAAAAAAAGTATATATATATGTATATGTATAATATGTATGTATTTACAAAAAAAGTATATAAGTATTCTATCAGTTGATTTAGTTTTCATAGTACAAGCTCTGCTTAGTTTGAAACTAGATGGCGTTGTGTGTCAGATGTCCGAAATATTATTACTACTCATACTACCTAAATAAACAAATATATAATAATAATAAAAATAATGAGATATTTCGAAAATCTCTTTCGAAAGTCTCGGTGCTGCTGTGTCGTTCTCTGCTTCTTAACTTCTAGATTCATTCGAGTGGCAACAAGTTTGACCAGAAGAGTGTGTTGGCCACTAAATATTTGTCGATTCCGATAACTATGTGAATCATTTTCGTTAATTTTATGAATTTGATTCCAAAAAATAAACTATACATATAAAATTATTTGCCCTGACTGACTGATTCATCAACGCAGAGATTAAACCATTTTGGCCCTTCGATATTTTTGGAAGTTTCACCCCCAAGGGGGGGGGGAAGTTTGTCATTTTCAAAGTAATACAGTAAACAACAAATAATCGAGAGAGCGAATCTGCGGGCAATAACTAGTTATTATAGACTTTCCTTAATATTCTTTTTTGTTTCACCATACTTAAAGAAATAAGTCTTACAATGTATTGTAAATAATTGCAGCCAAATTCATGAAAATGCTGCGCTTGTTCTAACAAAATATTGTCAACGTCTCTCCGTCAGCTATTCTTTTCTTATTTGCACTGTTAGCGGCAAGCTAATGGACAAACAAGGGGTCGCGCCAATGTTGATTTTCAGTTAGACCGTGCAAGGACGCTTGTATCTTACAAGATTTATTTGCGCGCGCCCGCCGGCTCCTAAAGACATCCCTTTGTATTTTTAAGACCTTGATTTTTATAATATTTTTGTGGCAGTTTGCTGGATGAGATGGAAATTGCTCAGTGCATTTGTTACATTTTAATTTCTGTAAATGTAATGCGGGCACTTGATCATTCTTATTTTAGGCGGCCAGTCATTGGTAGGTCGGTTGATTATTTTAGGAGACATACAACATTATTGTTAGCGCCATTGAGGTGATGATTGCTACCTTGGCTAATGATTGGAATTCTCTTGTTAAATTTCATCATTTCACATAATAATTAATAATCCTCGAAAACCATTCTCTCCACACCACTCACAATGACAAACTGATTTTAGAGAACAAATACAACGGACTAGCGAGACGGAAATATAAAGAATATTTTCATAAAATATTTTCTACACTTTCTAAACTTGTTTTTATAAGAAAACTGTTTTTAGATCTATTTCTTTGTAACTATAAGAAATCATTGGTAAAGTTTGATTACAGTTTTTCGGCTTCATTGTCTCCATAGCCGAGGCATAATATTCCAGAAGGAATAGATGGATATCGTCGGATCTGGCAAGTTTAGTGCCCTAGGGACTGGTCCTGTCTCCTATAGGCATTACCTTCCGAGTTTTTCTTTCATGTATTATTTTCTGTTTATATGTCGATAGGTAATTGAAAAGCTTTTAGAAGTATTTACTTTTTTTTTTGTAAAAAGTGAATGTTACCGGTTCTTTTTCGTTTTACTAGTTGCTGTAACTTTTTATTTATTTAATTTTCTTTGTTGTATTTTCTTAAAAACTATTAATATGTTATATTTAGATGTTAATAATATTTAAAGATTTATTTGTTTAAGTAACATGATGAGACTTTAATTTACTGTTTTTAAACACTGAAATATAGTTACAATAACTTTTAGCCGGCGAGAATTCGAAGGGATCAACCACAACTTTCTATTTTGCTATGGAGTTTAGAAATAACAATTATTTAGCGTAGTATATACTATGTATAGTATTCTTATTATTGTATTATAATTGTATATATAGTATAAAATCAACTCTTTACAAATACATCTCGTATGGGTGTAATTGTGTATCACATTGCGTATACACAGCACACGCTTTGTAACTGTTAGGCACTGCTTTTCCTAAAAAATGCCTCGAGGTATTACAATTATTTTTAAACCAAAAAGAAGGAATGTGGAATAATAAGCATTGTAATGGCAACTCAGTCCCTCAAACATACGGTATGTATAAATATCTACATAATACATACATTATGTATTTAAATGATGACCGATAATTAAACCGTAAGTGAAAATAAATCTCAACATTCAATCGATTTGTTTGAATATTCATATTGGATTAACAGGAATTTCATTAAAATGAGTTTTAGGATTCCAGTTATATATACTCTTTATAAATATAAAAACAAGGTCGAATCCAATAGGTCATAACACATTGATTGATTTTTATGATGTTAAATGAATAACAACCTGCACGAAAATATATTTGATCGTACTTGTTACATTTTTAATTTAAATCGAGTTCAATTTACAGTTTTAGTGTTTGCCGAAGCTTTCATATTCGAAGTTTTTGCAAAACAAATCGATTCCTTACTCGTAACGATGAAATTTGAAGGAAATTGCTCCTTAGAGAATGGAGAAATTTGGGTGAACTGAATTTGATTAAAACGGAAAAATAGGTAATAAGTCTTCAGAATATTGAAAGTATTGAATTGAAGTAAGCAAAGTTGTGACATTTGGTTACTATATTACAAAAAATATTACCTAATAATGCTAAAATCACTTTGCTATAATAATTGGTTCAATAACTTTTATTTATGTACTATACGTTTATATACTATAGTGGACAGTTTCAACTCTCCGATTATGCAACACTGTGCAGGGGGTGATTGGTACTAACCCTAGATGATAAGTAATAATTTAATGTAATAAACACTTTATGGATACTTTTGTTTTCCGAAATGAAAACCTTATTACATATTATAATGAAATTATTAATAAATTAAACAAACTCCCATGTACATATATGTATACCCTCGCAGGGATAAACCACGGAGCCAATTGCTTGCAACAGAGATGTATAAACGTTCATATATTACTGACTATAATTTAAATCACACTCACTTTATAAAGGGCGTTATCCGTGTGCTGAAGGATTAAGAATACGGACTGCACCACCCTTATTCATCCCGTGGGTGTCGTACAACCGACTAAGGGAGCATGCTAGTCAGGACAACAGGTTTGCAAAGAGAAGGAGAACTTGACACAAACCCTATACTAACCCGTCTGGCCAGCGTGGTATAGTATCCCAAAACCTTTCTAAGGAGAGGCCTATGTCCAGCAGTAGACTATTAAAGGCTATTGATGTGATGTGATGTGATGTGTAATAAAGGGCAGGCCTATCGCGTTCAATCAAGCACTTTATGAATTAGATGGAAAAATGAAAGGAAAGTTGTTGAAATAGGAATGCAATCTTAGGAGAGGGATACTGATTGTGTATATGGATTGGGAAGTGAAAACAATAGCTCAAAGTGGCCTAGTCTGTAACTTTACGTAACATTAATAGGATAAACTTTTATGTTTTATTTAGGCTCAACACTGAACTGAATTCCAATTTAAATCAACCAGTTCTGAGAATATGTTTTCTCTTTCTGACTTGCATAGACTTATCGGTATTCAAAAAAACTAAATTTAAATCTCGTATGCTTAACAGTAACAACTACTATACGATGTTATATTTTATTTTGGAGAGACGCGATGATTCAAATGATAGCTAGTTAATGTTATTAAATAAAATGACACTATTCATTTTGGAATTACTGAAAATCGAGTATTCTGATCTCCAGTATTTCAGATTAACCGTAGAAACTTTACAACAAACGACAACATTTTTTGCGTTTGTTTGACACTTAATTGAAGCTCTATCACCGCGATTGTGAATGATGTGTATAGTTTTAACTGGACTTCAGATTTGAAATTATACGCTGTTACTTATTACTGTGTGAGGCATGATCTGTTGTCTGTAACTGTACCAATTAAGTAAAAATAAAAAATAAAAACATACGTAGTTAGCACATGATGAAATGATAATTTTTCAATCAATCTTACTAGGAAAATTTTCCACTTGAATTCGTATCTGCACGTTTTGTTAATTGTCAGATACCGTATAGTGAAGTCACTGTGTTAGTTCACCTATTGAATATCTGTTTTTACCTTTTTGTATCTGGGAGCTATACGAATAATAAAATGACCAATAAAATGTTTGTCGTAATATATACTCTTTTGTTATTAGAAATGAACTTTTGTAAAATTCAAGCGAAGAGAAAAACTGTTTATGTGTATGAATATGGTGAGTAAACTTAGTGCTATATAGAGTGAATATGAATTCGTCTATTTTTGCTGAAATGTTTGGATTTTAACTAAGAAATTTCCTTGATTTGTGAGAAAAACTGCTGCAATTTTTTTTCATTAGATTTTTTGTTGTATTACTGAAATCGTGACTTGTAGACAAAAATAAATGAAACCAAAATACGAGGTCAGATAACGTGGATTAAAGGATGTGGTATGTACTTGTTAACAGTGTATTGTTAATGCAAGTTCTCAAAGATCATAGAATATTGTTATACATATAATTCAAACATCATTAAAAAAAAAACATATCATCACCGTATCGTCAACCATATCGTTTCCGTAATTTTAAGATGACTAACAAAAGAATGAATACTCAGTACATAAAAATGATTAAATAACATGGACCTACATTAAAATTTATACTAATCAATCTCAGGCTGTTGTAGAACGGACATACCGGTACTCGATCTCCTGCAGTCTTCCGTCTCCTTCGCCCTGCAAAAGGAACAACAACAACGATATTTTAATTAATAAGTTACATTCAAATAAATTGTATTGTAAGTGGTTTTTGGTTCAGTCGGTGTTTATGCAAAACTAAATCATTACAGGTGAACAACTAAATGGGTTGAAGCTAACTTATAATCACCACGGGCACATATCACCGCTAGAAAATTTATATACTCATGTAATTCCTGACTCGGTAAGCTATCTATTAATCTAATCTAATTATTAATCTGTAACAATTTTTGTTTACCACCATTTTATATACATACATATATATATATATATATATATATATATATATATATATATATATATATATTACAGGCAATCATACAGGTCTTCTGTTGAACAACAGGCAGCGTCTTTTGTATGTTTCCTCCTATATGTAATATGTATGGAGACTTGACGAGCAAGTTTAAAATTTTACTAGTTTCTACTTGCCTAGTAATGTTGCCAAATGCCAATTCTCTTATGTAAGAGAAGGGATAGGATCCGAAAAAATCTGTTCTGTGGAAAAACTCTTAAATTAGCTGATAAGGTAGACAAAATAGTGTAAGGTTATAATAAATGTAGCAAAAAAGCCTTCAAGCCTTCAATTCGATATTCAACTTATCTCGGAAACAAACTGAACACGTAGGTTGTAACCTTTTTTTTGGTTATGAATGTTGCTGACACAGATACAGAAATATAATTATATTTATTTAAAACTCATTGATTCGTTCACGTTTCTTAGTATATTACGTTGCCGATAGGCAATATCTTCGATAAAAATTCCACAGAATATTATTTTGTTTATGTTTATTACTTCTGTTTTTAGGAACTGAAAAACAACCTGGAAAAGAATATTACTTATTTAAAAGTGAAAAGTGTGAATCCCGTATCTGAAGTCCAAGTAATCTACACGCCCCAGGAACAGAAAGTTGTGAATTTCTTTATTAAAAATCCAATTGCTATCACAGAGTACATCATACTTGCTTACGCTAAAGAAAGAGAGCACACACCTTTTTTTTTAAATTTAATTACAAACTAAAAATGTGATAGTGGTTCTATTTCATCCTACTTTCCATTTTATAAAAACTTGCATTAAAATTATAAGACAGTTAAAAACAAAAAGAGGTAGAGAAGGTAAGAACCCAAACTCCTTAATATTTTTTCAAGAGAGACCAATAATTAACGTCTTCATCCGCGCTCCACACGCTGGCTGAATGCCTGTGCCGTGGGTGTAGCGGATGATATGGAGTGAGAGCGCGTGGAATTGCACGGTCTCTTTCTGCTTGGAAAAATGGCTCTGCTAATTCTGCTCGCGAAGGAGATGGCGGAGTAAGGCCGGGACCGGTTTTTTATCAGAATTAGACCAGATCCAAAACGGGCCGGGTACAAGCCAGGCACTGCAGACGTCTCAAGCGCCGGACCTCGCTGAATAACCTCCATCGTCCATAAGCGCAGGCCCAGGGGGCTTTCTGTCAGAATGTTCGCGCCCTTCAGGGTGTATGAAAGCAACCTCATGGCACGCATGGCCTGAGGTTCTTGGTCGGTTCAAGTCAAATATAGTTTATACTTGTATATATCACTAGCTGTACCCTGCTACGTTTCACTGTGGCACGTTGTAGTCGCCTTGATAGGAATGAACAATAAAACTACGAGGCAAAAAAGATAAAAACAGTCTTTCAAGCTGGTTGTATATCGTGTCATAATTTGAGTTCAATCGGTGCAAAAAAAATTGAGTTTTTGAAGCGTACACAAAACCACCTATCAATATATGTATAGAGAGTTACATGTTAGGTACACCTAGTTAATTTAAGGGGTTGTATTGCCATCATTTCTAATAGATTTCACCATGAACGTTGATTGTAATGTGATTATATCGTATTGTAACTAAAAATTTAATCGGTAATTTGCTAGTCTTAGTAAAACTTTACTATTTCACTACTAAAATACCTTTAATGACAGTTGTGAGATCGAAAGTTGATCGGAACTGAATTGTGGCCGAACTTTTATTACGAGAATTGGCCTTGGGTTTATTAAGTTAACTACTATTTTGTTATTTGTCGTGTTAATACAATCAATTTACGAAGTCTTTCGAAACTGTACCTACACAACGTAAAATACTTTAAAAGTATTCGTTTACATGGACAGACAGAACTACCAATCAGTTGGTGACAGCTAGATTGAATCCAATATGGACTGAAACCGACGGAATAACAGTGATTGACGGCCAGCGAACACACTCTTTTCCACAGTATGCTTCTAATTGTCTTTTGGGTTGAATACATATTTTTTAACCTCTTCGGTACAGAACACAAGTAATTTTACTATAAACTTTATAGTTCGTTACCTTTGAGAGTAAGATAAATAAAAAACTTTTTAGTGAGTTTAGCGCACATACTGGTTTTCAAAAGAAATCTCATATTTTTCAAACTCTCTACAAGTATTTCTCCATTACTTAATTCTGGCTTTTTTACTTTATCGAAATGGTGGTGTTAATTGGTTATAGATGTCGACACTAACTATTCACAGTATACGCATATCGATTAGTATTTGCTTTAGGGTCTTTCTAACTTTCATTAGGGTCTCGTGGTCCAGCAACTTTTCGAGGCGTTTTCAACTTGAAGATTGATTTATCGTTCCTGCGTGTTTTTAAAGGTATACATAAAAGTATACAAATTGCAAATAAGCAATGAATTTGAACAAAACCTTCAAATGTGCTGTTACTGAGCAGCAAAAAAAGTGTTTGTTACACCTACCACATTTTAGCACCGAACATACACGAAACACAAAATGACATTGAACCACCCTTTAGAGATTGCGACACCCAAAAGTTGTACTCATAAACTAACGGGGACTAAAGTATACATAATTCAGTTACCCAAGAAATAGGTCAAAAGGATGTGACAGAAACGTGTAAAGTCATAATGGAGTTGTGCACTTAGCTCACTAATGTGCTTCGAAAACTATTTATTTGTATTGACATTAGATTGGCTGATACACTGTCTGTCTAGCTAGAGCTCATTTACTTCTCAGTGGGGTCAAGGCGAATCTATGCTTTAGGAAGTAGAAATAGGCACGGAGTTATTTAGTAGTATTAGTGTTTTAGCTTTGAGTGTTAGTACAATAGTAAGTCTACTGACGAACTTCGATTGCTCTTATAAAACGGGTTAATATACAGTTTTCTAGTCTAGTGTAAATCCTCAGATTCAATAAACCTCAGAAAGCATTGTGGAAAATAATATATATATAAATTTAGAACGCTAATCATATATATATGATTAACGTTCTAAATTTCAAAGTTAGAAATTCGTTTCGATCGCTTAATAAAACTGCGCCATCATCTACATATCTTAAGACATGTCCTAATAAAACAAAATATGACATGCTAAATCTAGTTACATCCAGTTTTCCATTTTCCCAACATTTTCCCTTGTATCTAACCACTTTAACGTCACGATAAAGTTCTTAAAAGCTGTTCGCGGTACGCGTATCATTTGTGGCGCTGTGTACACCAGTCAATTGAGCTAACGGGGCTAAAGCAAAGGTTTTAGTGTAAAACTTGTTTTCACAACCTTGAGTATGAACATAAACCGTAATTAAAACTTTAAGGGTTAGTAATGGTTGAATATTATCTAGCTTTGTTTAGAGTGTCATTTCGTTTTAATGAGCTTCTTTTACTTAAAACTTGATGATTTATTGTTTACATGTTGCACATCATTTAACATAAACCCAAGTTACTAGTTAATTTTTCTTTTTAATTACTGAAATATAAGGCAGTATTTTTTTCCTTAATCATGTTAATATCTTTTTTCTACTTTACAAAACAAATTGGGAGAAACCATTTCAATGTTAAAAGATCTGAAAGAGTTATTACCTAATTAGTGAATGTTACCAGCATAAATAAGTTGGATACGTTGTCGCGTTCGATGGTTGTTCGCTAAAGGCAAATTTTGACTTAATCAATAACATGCTGGCGATGTGATGTTTTGTGTATAAAAACGTACAATATTTTTACATGATTCATTTTAAATTTATTTCAAGTAATAACTGTGCTCAGAATTTTCATTTTTTGTTAAGAAGTGCATTGAAACTATTGACCTTCACTATAAAATTATTGACCCTTACATCTCTAAGAAATAGTTCAGAATATATGTGTGTGTGTTTCTTGATTGTTTTGATGATTGACGTCTTGGCTTAGCTTCGATAGTAAGTAGAATAAGACGCTATTCGGAGAATAATCCCGATGTCTCTAAATATCCTTTTCCAGTGTACTTTTCGAAACTACGGCTATCAAATCACCGATATCAAAACCTCAATAAGTGCCATTTTGTACCCAAAGTTCGCCTCGATTCGAATGTAATAAACAGGTTTGAATTCCCATATGACCATTTATGATATTACTCCGGCTTATCCAGTCTAATTAATGCAGTACACGGCTCACTAAAACTTTGTACATGAAATCTCATTCGAATGGCGCAAATCGCTTCCCAAACATACGGAACTTACAGCAATACAATTTCAATGGGTAATGTTTGAAATTGAATTGAAAATTATTTAATCATTGCAAATTTATTATTGTGCAACAAATAAAACAATTTTTACTACGTATTGAAATCAAGATGGCTTCAAGATCATCCAATTCAAACTTTTCATGGTTTATGAATGATAGAAAATAATGAAAATATAGCCCTCTCTGTCTACTTAACCTTGATAAAACTGTGACTTGTGAGTAACAAAATGGAAAATTAAAATCTAATATTAAAAGTTTGATGAAAAGATATGTTTAATATAAACATCATCACTCAGATTTATATGAACTTAAAGTTACGAGTATTTGTTACGAAATTCTAAGCTAAACCTGTATTAGTACTTAGAGAAGATAGCTCGTCACTAATCTTCAACTAATAACTTTCAGAAAATCGACTAATATAAACTGTATTTGGTAATTGAAAAGCCAGCTTTAATCTATTTTCGTCACCAAGAGTTATCTAGGTCGTCACTTGTTTCATTATAAGGCACTTGGGGGAAGACTTTGTACACAGTAAAGTAAAGTTACAGTATGATCATATATTTTTCTTCTCATTTCTAAAAAATTTAGCTTATAAAGCTAGTACCGCAGACAGCCGCGACATAGGCTATTTAATATTTCTATATATATTCGTTTTTAAATTGTGACTGCAGCAATTATTTTCTGAAAGACATAACAGTTTGTAGAATTTGTGCTCAAATCAGCTCAGCCGGACTAGAAACTTAAAAAAAGAAAGGAACAAAATTAAGATCGTATCCAAAATGGCCTGCTTTTGTGTTTCTTTACAATATGGTATTCACAAAGGTCAACAATAAATAAATATATGGTAATATATAGTATATTCTTAGGTCCGAATGAACATTAATAAACTAAGTCTTGTCAGTCATTTTCTGACGTCTAAATGTCCAACAAATCAATAAACGTTACATTAATGTATCCATAATTATAAAATAGCAAACCGCCTCGGCTACGCACGGGTGGCCTTTCTTTCATATCTGTGTCAACTTGCAAATATCAGAAAATGTACGATAAATTAAGGTAGTGCCATATCAAGAGTAAAACGCTGTGGAACTACTGCTGTCTATAAACTGAGTGATGAAGTCCCTTCAGTTTCTACGGTGAAATTGCTATTAGAGAGATTCACGCCTAATGGACGAGTAATTGGCTGCTTCGCAAACTAATGGACAATTATAACGATAGACGAACATTTTATGGGAATTATAATATTATTATGTAACTTTTGTTATAAGTCTGTCTAAATAATCGTTAAATCTAGACAAATTAGGTATTAGATAAATTGAATCATCATTGGTTATGCAACTTTTTGGAATCTCATAGGTCATTGATCTTTTTAGATTTGATTACACGATTAAAATTATATAAGCAGCTATTTACTTTACAAACTCACAACTTTACTTTACAAGTTCAGTAGCGGATTTAATTAGGAAAAATAATTCAAAATATTAAATTTATGACTAATTTAAAGGTAAATATCATTTATATATGCATAAAATTTATTTGTATGAAACAAATGAATTTTATGTCTATTGAAGCTAATATAAATGTGTAATCAGTTCATTTAGTGTTCTATGTACGATCACTGGTTGCTTGGCTTTTTGCTATTGTTGATAATTTCGTAATACGAAATGTCTGAAATAACAACAATATATACAATATTTATAACAACGATGTCAGTAAAATAATAATGATCACATACTATAATTATAAATTAATTCCTTCAAGAGGAGTTTATATATAAAACTAGGTGACTAGGCATATTTTTGTTCTAGTGAATATTTTCGCAATTCCTGAGAGATCTTTTTTTACTATTTATCTTTGTCTCGGCATCACATCGACTGAGGAAATGTCACACTTCCGGTAAATTCAAATAAGTTGGATTATCAATAATTCCATATATTGACATTAGATTTTTGAAAGTGATTAGCCCGTCAAATTAAAAAGTACGTTACGTGCTTAATGATAAAAAATGAGACAAAATCTTCCGATTACAATACGACCATGTAATTAAATAAAATTATATAAAAAAAAAACGACCTCAACCTATTGTAATGCCTTGTAATATTTTTCGTTCTTCATTCTGGAGAGAAAACAAATTTGTAATCAACATCAACTGATGCCAACAATGCTCCTGCACGGTGGTGAATATGGCCTTAAACGTGTAATTTCGAACGTAAGGAATTATTTAACGAAATTTTTATTTATGAGCCTCAATAGAATTTTTCAGTTTTTTTTCATAAAAGCTGTTGTAAAAACAACAACAGTAAATATACGGGCCTGTTGGTGGTGGGTTCGATTCCCACCCATTACCCAGGTCATATGTTTTGTGTCGGGGTGTACTTTATCTATAATGCATGTATGTTTTTAGAAATATAGAAGTACGTTTATCAGCAGTCTGGTTATCATAGTACAGTCTCTGCCTAGTTTGGGATCAGACGGCCGTGTGTGAAATGTGTAAGAATATTATTAATATTATAATTATATCATTAAAAATGTATTCCAAGGTTTTACTAAAGGTCCCTTTGCTCGAATATGTGTTTATAAGTTAAGTTAAGGTTATAAGTGTTGTATTTTCTTGGTGTTTATAGATAATATGATTCTTCAGGTTATTTCCTAATACTAACTGTTCAAACTTGAATTATAATCAATTAGAATCTAATTTAAATGAATCAAATTTCATTAAATGAGGCAATCAAATTATTTTTATTTTTATTATTTTTATTTATTATTTTTATTTATTGCAAACTTTGTTCTGACAATAGCGACCAAAGAAAAAAAAAGAATTATTCGATTGAGTACAGTCGTTCAGAAGTTATGACCGTACATACATTTCGGCGATTCATTTTATTTATATAGATGTGAACAATGAGCAGTAATGAGAAACATGTTAAAACACGTTAAAACGCTATTAAATTTTGTTGCGAAGCCCGCATTATCATTTCGCTTAACTCATTAAGTTCGGGTTAAGAAACAGTGGTGTTTTTAATTATGAATATCTATGGAACTGATCATGATAATTTCACACATGAATAATCACTTATTTGCTGCGAAATTATCGCAATCTTCATGGATATGAACACATGTAGATCATCTTTAAAGAGAAAACGTTTAAATGTTTTTTTAACTAGATTTTAAAATACCTATATACTTTAATCGCATATAACGTAAAGAGAAATAAAAAAAAACACTTTTTTATAATTTTATTATAGTGGTTTATCTATATGTCTGATTACCGTATATAATACCGCGTCATTCTTTTAACAAAATGAAAGACGAAACACTGTGTTTTATGGTACTGTTATTGTTTTTAAGTTCGTGTAATGCATTACCCAAGTCTAAATATATTTATAGTTTTGTTTATGGTATGTACAAAATTTAATTGTGTCACATCTATATAATATATAAAATGTTAAGTTGGTTTCAAAAACTTAAAAAAGTTGTGCACTGATTGAGCTAAAATTTTGACACGATATACAAACCGCTTCAAATATTATTTCCATCTACTTTTGTGTACTCGTTTTTCATCAATGTAACCACAATGTGCCACAGCGAAGCGTGGTAGGGTGTGGCTAGTTATATATAAGAAATAATAATAATATATTTTATTTTTATTTTATTGTTCTCTCTCACACAGATATGGTTACAATAAACAATCTTACTATAGGTTACAATAAACAATCTTACTTACTTATATTATAGGTTATTTATGAGTGAGTCTGAGTGAGAAATAATGAGTTAGGATTTACATTAGAATAAAAGTTAATCGTCCAAAACATTTTAGATGCTTACATGTCGTATGTACATATATAATGCTTTTTGGTTTCTTATAATCCTTACCTTAGCTCCATGCCTTACACACAAAAATAGAATATTTCTATCTTTTCTAATATAATAAGAAAAGAAAAGTTGGCCAAAAGCGTTTTTTTTCAAATGCAATATATGCTATGTACAGGTATCTTCTATTTGTCGCAGCTGTTTCTCATCATCCTTAGGGCAACACTAGGTAGATTATGTCACAACTAGAAGAAAAATAAGTTAATACTCAAGACACAATGCAGCATAGCAAGGAATCGAATACGCATCCAAAGCTTTATGGTATTGTTTAGTACGAAAATAAATAAAACAAATGAAAATGTAATTAAACTATTGTTACCTAAATTTAAATGCCTATCACTTCAGGGATATACATATAGTGCTTATACATAGAAATCATTATGAATAAGACTAAACTAGTGTTATACGCGTACTGTTATTCATTAAATGTTTACTTTAAACAGGTCAAAGTGTGCCAGATGAAGAGATAGCTTATTATTACAATGGTGACATACCAGACCTTACACCAATATATACACATAAAATTGATGAAAAGGTAAGATATTATCATAGACTTAATTTCGTGTCGTAGGTACTGTGCCGCAGAACTATATCTATATATATCTTAAAATAATGTAAGTCAAACGTACATAATGTACTTAGAACCATTATTGCTGTACGTACAACATAATGAGTGTGGTCACAAAATAATGAGTTTCGATTGTGGATCTGCTGCGAAGCATACATCGTATCACTCAAGACTGATAAAAGCTACTGTTTTTTGATGAAAACTGATGTACAAATTTTATTTTATTTTATTTCCTAAGTCACTCTAACTAGACCGTGATAGAGCCATGTTTCGTCACGTCCTGCTCGTTTGCCCCCTAAAACATAAAAAAAGTATCGAGAACAACTATATTCATAATCATCATTAACTCTCCTTAGAAAGGAAGTTTCATCAACATCAACAGCCTTTAATCTCCCTGCCAGCCCAGACGGGTTGCTTGTGTCTCTTTTTTTTTTTCCCTTTGCATTGCTGTTGTCCTGCAGAGTTTGCTCCGTTAGTCGGCTCTAACGACACCCACGGGATGAATAGGGGTGGTGACACCCCGTATTCTCAATCCGTCACCACACGAACAAGGAAGGAAGGAGGAGGTATTCATGTGTTTATACAAACAAAGATAGTTTCTTGAAAAAAGTGATGTACAGGCTTTAAATACCAGAAATAGAACTAACCGGCCTCTAGACTCTAAAAGATAAAAGAGCCATTTCAAGGTCAATGTGTCCGATTTTATAATAAAATCCCAAGTAAAATACAAGAGAAGATTAAGTATAAACAAAATTAAATCCACAGTAAAGCATAGAAACCACAATCGAGTAATAGGCCTTCTATTTTCTCCTAGGTGTATAGAAGACAAAGAATGCTTAGGATTAATTTAGCACAGGCTATTTCTCCAGTGAAAATGTAGTGTAGACTAGTGTGCTTTTTATTTATTTTTCTCACTTTTTCATTTGAGAACTAGTCAAATCGCGATACATTGCCATTTAGGATTAGCAGTTACTAGCAGATTAGAAGCTGCTATTGGAAATCTTTATAAAATGACATTGAGTTCTTTATTTTATCAGAGCCTATTAATTTATATTTACAGTTAAGGATTTTTCATGCCCCTCCGTACTAGATTTCGTCATTGCAGTGTTATACCAGTTATGAATATTATAGTAGGGTGAATTTCATAAGGAGATCTACGAATAGGTCAGTAGATTATATTTAAGTTTGTATTATTTAATAATACTAATATATTTTTGTACTTATTTTATGCTTTTAGGAACTTAAACCGCACTTGGAAAAGAATTTTACGTTTTTGAAAGTAGAATACCTGAGTCCGGTATCTACAGTATATATTGAATATTTTCCCGCGACATATACTTTGAAATTCACCATTGTCGTGCCACTGGTCTCCATAAAATTTGCAGTAGCTGCCTTTGCTCTTAAAAAAAAGAGTAGACGTCAAAGTAGATCTAGTTTAAATGTGGTTTATTTAAAAATATAATAAAGTAATAATGTCAGATTGTCAGTTTCATTTTGCAAAATTTTGTTTTTCTTCAATATTTTCCCGTCCTACGGTTATTATATCAGCGGTAAGCATGGCTGGTCTGGTAAACACACTGGCTTGAACAAATTAGGTAATATGTATGAAAAATAACGCGAAGTATGTGATCCCTCAACACGAATTGCATAACAGCGGTACAGATTCTTATAATAAAATTTTGTATATATTTTATTATAAGAATATGTTCCCATTACAGTGTACCATGCAATGAATGTATACCTAAAATATATGAAAAAAGTAGGAATACCTACAACTGCAAACATGCCTTCAAATCAACGACAGGATGTTTGGGTGGTAGGTGTTCGAAATTACTAGGTGCATATTTGAGGAAATTACTTTTGCAGATAACATTTTTATAGAAAAAGGAATCGATTATTGAGAAACCTGACATTTTCTAGGTATTTTACTATATTTACTTAGTTAGAACTACACAAATACAAAGCTATGTTCACTTTGCATAGAACAACTTATAGGTCAATGTTAACGTTTAGACATACACAATTTAGGATTTGAGTATTGACTACACTCGGGTTTGTCATTTTCTTATTAATCAAAAATAAATATAATTTAAATATAAATTAAGTAATAAGAACTATCCAATTATTCATTTATAAGCATGTATAGTAGTTTTCAACATTAATTATTTCTCAAGAAATTCTTGCTTATTGTGGCCATTATTTGAAATTTGTATGCGATAAACAGGTCGGTTTTGAAGTATCATTGGTGTATTACTATGAAACGGTGCAGTGAATAAGCACGTATAACAATGTATATTCAAAAAGGAATTGGACACTGAATTGCTTAATTTGGATTAAACCAATTGTGAAAATAATTCCATTCTACGGAAGATCACCGTCAAATATAATCTTGAATAGTCTTGGATATTCTTAAACAGTACTGTATATTCAATGTAGACTCTACCACTGCTCTGTAGCTAAAGTTTCTTCTGCTTCTTCGTATTTTTGTTTATTTATATAAATACGAAGAAGCAGAAGAAACAACAATAATTGATCAAATTTACAACGACATTAATTGTACAACGTTTTGATCAAACAACACTTTGATCTTTTTATGTGTACCTAGGTAAATAATTATAACTTCGCACATCTAACATATCTGTTTCTTGACCAAAAACTGAAAATCAATGCCAAGTACTGCTTAAAATGGAACATACGTCGATATTTATTCTCTGATAAGTTTTTGTTTGATTTTAGGGCCGTCTCGAATCGGGGAGGACCTGAAATAACATGTTCCGGGTCCTCGCAGAGTATGACACACATACTCCTAGCTCCTGAGTCCCCGAGGAGCAGGAGATCCGAAGGGATTTTCTACCCCGTCAACAGAAGAAAAAGGTCCGGCTCGAATACGTATCTAAAATACAAAAAAATCCTGGCGCTACTCAAATACCTTATGTATACCTAGTATGAAATGCTTTTAAGTGTATCTAAAAGTAATATGTAAATGTTAACATTATTCTCTAAATGAGCATCTGTATCAAAGCACCCTTTAATATATCTACCCAAAATTAACTACTTTCCGTACCACATTAGGTTGATGGGTAACTTGTACCTCTCACTAAATGGTCATGACTTTTCCTTAGTTTATTTTAACGACTTACTACTCGCACCTGAGGTGGACTTTTTGATTGATGATTTTTATTGAAGTCAATGTATAGAAGTTAGCTTATAGCTTTGAAATAATGGAGTTTTTATATATTTTGATAAAACTAGCTGACACTCGCGAGTAGGCTTAAAATACTTCATGATTTAAAACTTTTTCATTTCAGAACAAGTTTTGTAAGAAAATATAATAAAATTTGGATTTTAAGGGGATTATAGAAAATAAAAACAAAGATCTATTAAACACTGAAATATTGAAAAATAAACGTAGCAGGAAAAACAAAGAAGGTTACTGAAATGGATCTGTGATTTTTTTTTAGGATATGCTCTACAGATAGTAGAAGTCCAATACTTCTGCTGTCTGTAAAGCATATTTTGTTAAATCCTTGTTCTAATTGATCAACTAAAAAAGCATTAAAGTCTGTGCAAAAATAAATATTTATTAGTCATCTAAACTTCATTCAAAGTTACCTTTTTAATTAACTACAACTTAAACAATTTTTGAAAGCAATGAACATGTAATCACGTCATAGTGCTCTGTGTCAATATTTCAAGTAATGAGTGTTGGGGCACGTTTTATATTGCTACATGCAGAGATGGCACTCTATTTGTGTCACTTAGGAAACTGACGTACCTCGTAGCAACCACTCTGATCATTGATTTATATGCATGTGGATGAGGCACTTTACTTTGTATCTATGTGTTTTTAACTTGATGTAAATAACACATAAATCTCGGAACTGTATATTTTCTGGTTTCAAATTTTAAAAGCCAATTGCCAATTGTGCATCCGAAAAACAAAATTAATTTTGAGAACAAAATGTTTTTTGATAATGATTTCCTTGGTGTAAAGGAATATTAACAAATAATAGTTTATGAATTTTCACATTATTTTACTGATTTTTTTTCTTTACTTCATGTGGAAATATCTAGAAAAAAGAGACATTCTACCAACGTCCTTGCGATGCAGTGAAAAATGGGTATTTACCATTGTTTTATTCAATCACATAAATAAAACAATGGTAAAATACCCATTTTTTAATTGTCACCCTTGTCTCATACGTAATATTGGCTTCATTGACAAATTTTTGGTGATTAATTGAACCTCATGTAGTTTACCACTTATGACTTTCATTATGCCACAGCACGCCACAATTTTTGTTATTAATATTTACAAAATAAAATGTTATTATCTATGCCTCCGGAGAAAGAATAAACATTGATTCAATTTTCACATCACGAGAAGATGAGAATGGCTTTTTAGTCACCAATTCAATCAATTTCTCGTCATCGTTCGGTGGAAACGCTGCCATTTTAATGCGATTGCACTGCCCCTGGAGCGACCGGGTCGCGGTCGCCACGCTGCCAACTAGCCATATAAATTCATGTTAAGCAGTGGGTCGCGCGACCCTGACGCGGTAGCGGATCGCGGTATCTCATCGCGGTCGTAGGAACCGAATGCTGCGGCGATGGTGCTGGCCGATATGGATGCGATGGTCTATGACCCAGTTCGCTCTGTCGGTCGGTGGCATGGCTCGAAATCCAGGGCTGTGTTAGCCAACGCACCGTCGGAGCCCTTCTGCCGAGCTCCGTGGGTAGCGAGGAACGACTGTGTCACCTATTGATTGACTCAGATGCTCACCGAGCACGGTTGCTGCGGTGAATATCTGAATTGAATTAGACGGGAGGTCACGGTACAATGCCACCATTGCGGGTCCGACCGGGACTTCGACCCGCACACGCTGAGGACTGCAAGCATTCCCGACGTGAAATAAAAAGGAACCGAAGGCTACCTGTAAAGTCTCGTGAAGCGCTTTTTCTTTGTAGAACTTTAATGGCTTGGATAGCTACCTATTTCTCAGTGGCACTCTTGCTATTTTAAAAGGATATTATAGCCACATATGTATGTTAATACAGTATAACTCCTAATGTATTCAGTGGTGAGAGAATAATTAAATATTCCTGTCAGAATATTATTATATATTCTACCATATCTAAGTTTTCTATGCTTTGTGTTTAGACCGGAATGTAGTCTCGGAGCGGCGTCGCATGGGCAATTAGTTATAGTTGGGCTTAGACCTGCTCCTGTAGCAGGTAGGGCTATTAGATCAATTATTACTTTGAACTAGTTACTTTAAAGTATTTAAGGAAATTGCATGTTAGTACCTTATGTCGAGGGACACCTTTTGTCGAATCTCTTGTCATATTTTTGTCATTGGTCAATTTCAGTTTCAGATTTGCTGTTACTAATTATAGCGAATTGCGAAACCGTATCTGTTTGAAATAACAATTATTCATTGTGGTTAACTTGTCTAATAAATTTATAAGATGCTTTAGATGAATTTATTCATGTTAGTATTACAATTTTTTATTAACTTAGTGTTAAATTAAACAGTTTATTTATATCGTATAAAAGTGCAACTTTAGGAAAAGCCGCCATTATAAAACTGAAAAACGTAGTAAAACACTAAAAAATTAAATAAATCGTCTGGTTTTTTGAAAGTGATATATTAAACCTACATTTAAATATTAAATATGGGTTTAATAAATGCATTTAAATTTTGACGATCAGTGATATGCATATGGTCGAGTCATACTATTATCTTTGTCTTTTCATGCAGCCATTATCTACTTTTTGTTCTTCTCGTCAAAAAAATACAAGAGCAGAACTAGAACAAAGATGGGTTTTGAAATACAAGCAAAGTCTTTTTGTTATAAATAAATAAATATAATTAAAAATAAAAATGCCTTTTTTTACATTCCATATTCTTTTGATATACGAGCTTATTTAACTTTTTAAAAAACTGGCTAAGTGTGTGTCGAGCCAGGCCCCAAGAGTTCCGAAGCTTTCTATCACGCTTATACGAAACATTTTACGTAACTAAAATATAAATAAGATAAAGGCGTTTTGTTATTTCATTTTATAAATATTTCAGATTAACGGTTTTGGCGGCCTATAACGTCGAATTAGTTGGTCCACCATTACTCTAAAACTAATAAAGCCTACTAACCTGTAATAGTTTTCCTATTAAATTTGTTATATATGCTGTTGACTGTAACAAAAATTAGCGATTTAAGGGTTAACATCTCACAAACTGATACCTTAATCAAATTACTGTCTTTGAAAGGTGAATATAAAAAATAACATCCGGACTCCAAAGGTACTAGGTAGGTACTAGGTAGGTACTAGTACCCTAAAAATATTTCTCAAGATTTTATTTTACGCGAATTAGCATATACTAATCATGTTCATGCGAAATTACATATTCCTAACACTAACAGTCTGTGTGATATAGTGTGGACAGACCGGCCGGACATGAG